CCTACGACTCGGACGTTTGGACGTCACCTTGTCTTCTGTTCTCCCGTCATGTCATTTAGCGTTTTACGAGTGAAAATTTGTTCAGTTTCCAAATTTTAATTTATTTTTTGTTGCTATTATTATTGTGTCCATCTTTATTTACTATATACTCGTAGAATATCGACCTCTGATCGTCCAGTCATTCAAACGCTTGGTATTATTTATATTATTGGTAAAGTATTCATTAATATAATTATAATATTATTTTAATGGTTTTTAAGTATTATATTATGATTTATATCATACTTTTTTTTAGATTCTGAGCTAAGCGAGGAGCGTATGAGTTTTAAAATGATGTGTGCCATAATTTTTTTCTGATTGTTAACATTATTTTTATCAGAAATCTTGCCCATTTTTGATTAGTAATTTTTGAAAAAGCCCGAGAAAAACGTTTAAGAAAACCAAATAAAATAAGACTTATATTTATGGCGTTAATATAAATGCGATTTTTGTTTTCTACCAGAAATCTTGCTTCAAATTTAACGAAAAATATTTTTTCAGAAATTGATGCTAGTGGTTGAGTAAGAAAATCATTTTTTTGATTTTAAATCTAACAGTATTTTAATTATCAGGAGAAATAACGCACGTAGACAAATTTACGGCCTTATCGGTTTCATTATTTTCGATTTTGTTTTTATTGCTTTAATTGTATGCAGAGCTAAAATATTCAAAGAATAAACATAGTTTAGCCATTTCTCGACGTGTTCAAAAGTTGTTTTTTGATTTTCAGTGTAGATTTCTTAATAATTTGCGGAAAAATGGAAAAAAGTAGAAAGAACAAGAAAGTTTATGAAAAAAATTATTTCACTATTTTCAATTTTAGATTTGGAGCGTAGAGATGGATCTGTTAGTTTTACAATGTGTATTTTTTTTGTCTGTGAACAACTTCTACCAGAAATTCCGCTCCAATATACAGAGTGAAGCACTTTTTTTTTTAATGGACATTTTATCTAGTTAATACATTGGGAGATCGTTTTTTAATTTTCTAAATAATGAAAACGATGTGGTTAAATTTTCAAAACATTTTAGCTATTTATATGGACATTTTAATTTTGCGACTTCTTTACGTAATTTGTTATCGGTATAAGTACGAGTACTCCATGGATAAAATTGTTAAACTTAACAGAAATACTTGCAAATTTAACAAGAGGTTCATTATAAGTCGTAAATTGTGGTAAAAAAAATTGAGTGTGATGTAGAATTTTTTTTTTAATTAGAATTATAGTTTCAAATTTAGACGAGAATCGTAAATATTACTACTTTTCAAAATACGTATAACCGTACTCCGCTCAGAATCATTTTTTATTAGCAATGGTTTATCGTTGCTTACAGGTATAAATTAAATAACCTAATGTATCCTACCTTCCTAACTTGGAATATCTTGTTAATGAGTTGACGGAAATCAAAAACATTGACACCAAAATGTATTTAAAGTAATTCTCTGTCTATTTATGGAATTATTAATATGTATATAGGTTCTCATTTGAAAAACCAAAGTTGGTTTCACCACAAGATACTCCTGAAAACGACTGTTGTGAAAAATCTAAGTATTCGAAAATATAAGATTTAACTACACTTAAAAATTCCAAAAATCAGAATTTAAATATTTGCAAAATTTAACCAAAACAATGGGGTGAGCACGCTCAGTGAATCACTCTGTGTATGTATATTTTTTCTAATAGAAGTAACCATATTTTTCACTTTTCGTTTTCAGTTTTATTATTCTAAATATTTTTAGATCGGATTTCTTTTAGTAGTAGTTTAATGTTTCAATGTGTGGTGTTGAAAAAAAAAACATGAATTGTATAATAATTCTAAATGTCCTGATAAATCTCTATGCATGAATAAATGAATAATAAACAATATTTATATTAGGTACTAGGTAGTACGAATGGCGACGATAGCTTTAAAGTATTATTTTAGATTTGTCAATATTTATTATATAATTTCGAGAAATTATATGAAATAATACTAGTTGTAATATAAATAAATCATTTGTTCCTACATTACGTATATTATTAGTATTCATATTTTTTTTTTTAGATTCTGTGTACTGAAGGACTTATTAATTATACTAAGATATATTTTTTTTCTCGTTGAACATTTTTCAAAATCTTCAATAAAATGGCCTATTTCAATTTTTTTTTCTTCACTTTTTTGGCGAGTATCACGGTTCAATTTCTTCACGCAGTATCATCATAAACAATAAGGAATTTCAATCTATTGATATAACTAATTGAGATATTTGTTTCAAAATTTTTAATGATTCGCATATTAAAATTTTTACTCACTAGCTTCTTATTTTTTTTTTCTAGGAAACCGCTTTTGCAGTTAGTAATTATACCCCAAATTATTCGCATCGTACCTTAAAAAATGTGAATTTTTAGCTGGTGGTACTTATTTTAAAAAAAATTTAGTTTCTTAACAGTTTTTCTAAAAGATTGACAACACTTTGTCGATAACATACTTTATTTTTATTGATTTGTAGGTAATATTGGACAGCAACAGAAATATATGCGACTAAGACTATATATTATTAGTTTACCAAGTTCTGCTAATAATCATTTTACTTTTCATAATAAACTTAATATTCCCATTATATTATACTTTTCGAGCTTTCTGCCTGCAACAGCGGCTAATGGTGCAAATGGCCAATGGGTTCAAAATTCTTTTTTAACATTATGTATATAAATTGCCAAAGCAAATCATATTTTTAAATGGAGTGTGAATGGGTAGTTTTCTTGTGTGCCCGTCCCTGTGGATAAATGTTATTGACGCAACCAACTGAAAAAAACGGAAATATTTTTACGCATGATCAGTTTTCATTAAAATCGATTATTATAATTCGATAAAAAATACACTCAAAAGATTGTACCAAATAGCATTTGTTAGCAGGCACGACGATATTTTACATAGGTATCTATTATTTTTTGATATATGTAATTATAATTTCTTTGGTTTAATTAAAATGTTAAAAATTTAAAATGAGTTTCATTATAGTTTGTGATGATAAAATAAATTTAGCTTAATGTAGACATTTTTTATTTTTTACTTTAAATCATGACATATCAAAACTTTGCTCGTAATCGTTTTTCGTTAGAAATAATTTATCGTTGCGTGCAGTCATGAATAAATAATTCTACGTATCTTACCTTTCGAACTTCCCAGTTCCCACCTAAAATAGTGGCACATTTATCACCCTCATCAGCAGTATTGGTTTTTTTCTAGATTCATATCAAAATGTTTAAGTATTAACGAGTTAAAGAATTAAAATAATCTATTATTTTTTACATATTTCATCATAAAGACATATTTTTACATAATTTATAAAATGTCCGCTTATTTTACATATTTCATAAATTGTATTCATAATACTAAAAAGTAAAATAATTTGTCAATTTACATCATCAAAATGAGTTGTTTAATAGTATTATACATTTATAATAAAGTAATATAGTACGATACTAGTACTTGTAAAAGTTTTAAATGTTTATAGATAGAGCATTGATTGTTATTTAAGGCTGGAATTTATATCACTACGAAAGTTATTAATACTAAATATATCAGTTAAACATTAATAACTTGACTTTAATTTATCTTACCTGTTTATATTCGATAGCTATATCATAATATTACTTAAGATTAATTATTGCTCGATTTTTCGCCTAGTGAAATAACAGCCATGAAGTATGCACTGATAACATCCTTTGATGCGGAACGTTCATTTAGCACATATAAGTTAGGGTTAAGACCAAATTGTAGTAACTTTAAATTTAAAAACTTAAAACACTATATGGTTTTCCATTGTTTTACTTTAAACTGATATTTTTTAATTTTTTTTCATTACATATTTTGGTCATTTTAATTACATATATATGTATATATTATTGTTTCTTTTATTAATAAATAAAATAAAAACAACATATGCAATTACATATAAATCCCAGCCCTAATTATAAACATTAAATAAACATAATTTACCTATTTAATCAATAACCAAATTAAACAATTACCATACTATTTATTTCATATTTTCATAAAAATGTATTAGATATAAATAAAAAGTACAAATATATATTATGTATGGTGTAAATATAAATTTACTTAATTTAAAATTAAAGCCAAATTTTTAATGTGGTAAGGTGTGGACGATGTTTTCTTTACCAAAAAAATAATAATGACGGCATCAAAAAAAAATACAGTCAGTACTGTTTGGATAATAAAGAAATAATTTCTATTTTATACGATAAGAATAATAACATTTTTCCTCATAGCGCTTTAAAGTATAGCTACGCCACTATTTCTAAATAAATTTTCTCTGTGTTTCATCCTTATTCTTGAAAAAGCATAAATTGTATGTTTAATAATTCTCGCTATATATATGACAATAACAATTTCACAAACAATTAAAATTAACTTTTCTTAAGTTAATAAGTTAGGTAATTTTATGTTCAAAATATCTTTTAACTTGACTTAGTTAATGCATAAAACAATTAACTTTAAACGTGTTAGTATGAAAACTTATTTCTAATTAAGCTATTGTAGTATGTAACTGAGTTAATATTATTTAATAATTTACCCAGCCTTATGTACATTAATTATGTTTTTTAACCAAATATAAATATACAATATAATATTATCACATTATAAGTTGCTCTTAGTACTGAAAACAAAGTTATGTTATATTTGGCAATTTATTTGTACTATCGTTTAAAGTTCAATTTTGACGACATTCAAAAAATTATAAATTATTACCTTTTTTCAATAGCGGTTATTTATTATATTGTTATCTAATTAACGTCTAATCTGTGGACTTAGGCCAAAGTTCGACAATTTATAGAACGTTTAAAATCATTAAACTATAGCCAAAGGTGGGGAGTGGGTAGGAGTTCTAAATATAATAATGGAATAAAACACAGCAAAATATAGTCACATACTTACAATAAAGCTGTTTTAAGATAATGGGAAAAGGTGCAGGTAATTTAAATAGGTGAGAAGTAAGAAAGGTAGTAAAGGGTAAATTGAATGTATAAAGTATACCTGTAAGCAACAATAAACTATTGCTAACGAAAAAACGATTCTGAGTGGAGTTCAATTGATAGTGTTACTTTTTCAACAATATATATGTCATATTATGGTAAAATAATTAAATACACATTATATATTTTCTTTAATAATATTTGTTTAATATTATACCTATTTTCCCGATTTTTCCATGTTTTTCTCATTTATTAGGAAAATTCCTAAGAAAATCCCTAAAGTACCATCCCCGTCAGATTTCCTTTTAGAAAAAGTGCTATTATTGTAAATCAGAGCAAAATTGGAGGAAAATTGCTTGTAGAAAAGTTGTTTACAGATAAAAAAAATAAACATGATTGTAAAACCAATACATTCCTCACACTAATCAGAATCTAAGAACTGTTAAAAACTAAACATATAACATAAGTTAAAGAGAAAATTTAACAAAATCTAGTCATTTATTAATGCTCGCATTAAGTAAAATTATTGCCGTCTAAATTTTTTTTTAAATTTATTTATAAAATGGCTATCTTGGATTACAAATAAAAATTTCATTATAAGATTTAAATTTTTTTTACTAATTGTAACAAAGTATAATAAAATATAAAGTATACAAATTATAGTGTCGAGATATCACAATAATTTAAAAAAAAAACTTAAAAATTTCAATAGAAAAAAAGTTATTACATTTGTCAAAAAGTCCAGTTACTTCCTGTATATCGTCATATCAAACCGCCGACTTTATGCCCTACTACCATCCATAAGTTAAACTGTCTATATTATGACTCAATGGTAATATTCCAGTGACATTGTGTGTCGTATCGTGTCGAACAGCTATATGCTGATGATAATACCAAGAAACTCAATCTCTCCCATCGCCATTAACACTCCAATATACTTAGCTTGATTAATCATTGAAACCATCATAAGTGTTACATATACATTTTTAAAATCTTCCTTCCGTTATCTTATCTCAGATATTTTCCTGGACACGACATCTGATGTTGCTGAAATGCCGCCTTAAGTGTTAAAATTTCAAATGTCAATGTGTGATTTTTGGGATTACTTTCCCGTGTCAATCACCTAATGCTTGCACAAGGTTAACCATATTTATATTGTTTTTACAGGTGTTTTAATAATGGCTCTTCACCCCGATGATTTACAAATGTGTAGAATTTGTTTAGACGATCCTGTAGATTCCTATGGTGGTAAACCGATCAAATTAATACCAGTATTTTCACCCGAAAATGGCGCCGATACATTAAACAAAAAAATCTTCAAAGTATTTGAAATCAAAGTAAGCGAAAAGGAAAATATATATTGAAATACCTAGAACACTAATTATTTACCATTATTAATAATCATATAATATTTGTATTAGATTGAAAAAAATGACATTAAACCGAAGTTAATATGTGAAAGGTGTCATGCATTTATATTGCAAGTATACGAACAAAGAAAAGTAGCCGCTGATAGTCAAATTGTTATTAATTTCATCGTTGCAAAAAAAACCAGACATCATCAAAATAAAGAAGAGGAAAATTCTCTTGGTACTGAAAACAACAACAAAAAACTGAAAAAAGATGCACCAGAAAAGATGGAAAAGACAAGAAAAGCGAAAAAGGCGGAAAATGGAAAAAAGTTAACACCGGAATTTGCGGTACCGAAATGTCCAAAAAATAGTACAATGAAACTACCGAAACGTTCGAAACAAGATATGAAGAAATTGAATTCCGAAATTCAGCGCCGTTTTAAATCGATGACCGATTTTCTTGAAAGCCAATGCCCAAAAGAATAAGAATTTTTACTGCATGTAGTCTCGAGAATAAGACTTTTTAAAAATGTGTGTACCTATCTATATTATATAAATAATTTACAATAAAATAAATACATCAAATATATAATAATATAATACAAGTAAAATAATATATATGGACAAAAAACTTCGGTATATGTGACTGGTATCAATTTTAAAAAATGTATTTTTTATATTTTCAACTCGCGATATGCGAGGCTTTTGTTTTTGTAAATAAATTTGTTTTTAGCATTTATTTTATTTTTCAATTTTTGAGTATCAACTTTCAAAACTTCTTTTGTTTTTATATAAAATTATAAATTATAGGTAATGATGTATAGCAGTGTAATATATAGTAGTCAATAAGGTTTAATTTTCAATTTGATACCAAAGTATTTTTTGTTAATAGTTGTATACTCTATACATTCATAGGCAAATAATGGTAATTAATAAGTACATAAAAAAGATTTTAATTAAAAACAACATCAGTTTTTATGTTTTTTTAATTCGTTACTCCAAAATGTATTTTACATTTTAAATTACCTATACTATATAGTAAATGGATGTAACAGGTAGATGCTAAAAATGTTTACAAGTAAAACCAATAACTATTATATTAATATTATTTAACATGATCAAAAAAATCATTTCGCTGAATTTGTAATATTATAATTAAAACATTTGTAAGCAATCAACTTATTATGAAACATTTTTACTTGGTAATTATTAAATAAATTATAAATGTATAAATTAAATTGTAAGTACCTACTTTATTAAAATTATCAAATAAACAATAATAATTGTATATCATTTTTTTAATAACATTTTATACATTTTATATTAATTTCATGACTGTGTAATACTACTGAAATGTCACAAAAGCAACTTATCTACTTACTACTATATAATATAAAGAACCAATCTATGTATTTGATTTAATATGTTAATAATATTTGCTAATTTGATTAAAAAATGTATAATGTATATTATTGTAATACATTAAAACTGTGAAATTTCAAAAATAAATGTTTACAAAATTATGTGTATAAAGGAATTAATAAGCCTACTAAGTTTGTCATGATACCCGTGTATCATAATACTATTGTATTAATATAATATATTTTATAAAACTGTAAATAACAAACTGCTTATAGTATCCATTAAGACATAATAATTATATGTTGTAATCAATTAAGACAATTAGGCTAGAGACAACAGCCATTGGAAACGCGGCATGTAACGTACCGCGGACCTCCAGATCTAGGAGTCTTCCAGTGTCTATCGACGTGTACATTATTTTTCATAATCACGGGCTGTTGGTATTCTGAAAGCCGACAGTAATTTCATTTACACATAGTTGTTTTTACACCATATTTGTATACGTAAATAAAACAAAAGTGTGTTATTTTCATTATCAATGTAAATTAATTATATTTCATCTAGATTCCTGGTACGATGAATCTTTGGCGACAAGTATGCAATTATGCAATTTACAACACCCAGATCTGTATTATCAATTAAGAATAGTTTTAGAAGAATAATTGCGTTCCTCATAGGTACGATTGTAAGACAATTTTATAGACAGGTAATTTTTATTAGATCTCTACTGATGACTCCCCAATATTACTTTCTCCAATAGGAAAAAGTAATACCTAAAGGAAAGGTATTTTGTTTGACTTACCCCTACTCCTATTATATCCTTTTTTTGAGCCATTACATTATTATGACTATTTGTTATAATTTTTTACTTAAATAATATTATTGAATAAAATATTCGACATTATTGCTACGTAAAGAATTCAATTAAAATTTAAATGTATTAATAAAACAATTTTATCTTCAAATATCGAACATCTTAATTTTAAATTATACCATCTACACTTTACAGTATACAGTGTTTGGAAAATGTCTTTTAAAAATGAATGCATTCCCGTATATTATTTCTTATTTTTATAATTAATGCATTAAAAGATTATGGCCATTAAAAATAAATTGCAGATATTATAATAAGTATATATTCCTATAAGTTGTAAAAAAAAAGTCATCTTGGTTCAATCCTTTTACAAATAGAAACAAATAAAAGAAAATCAATTCCACGTGTCTCCCCGTTTCCAATCTTATCTCTATCATAGTTAGTCGATTTTCTCCTGTAGTGTATCTTTTAAAAAAATATATTTATTTCTTGTCCATGACAAACGAATTAAATAATAATGATAAGTTTCTTTTTTTTCTTCCGCGTCGCCAATGTAACCTATACCAAAATGTTTTTTTTTTAAATTTAATTTTCGATTTATAAATACTAAACACTCCGTGTTCCAGCGATCCTCATCCATTTTCTATTTTCTATTCAGAAATATTATTAATACAGAGATATTGACTACTCAATTTTTGGAATATTTATATATATATATATATAATCTATTTATGGGCTTTTAATATAGGTTGCCATTTGAAAATCAAAAGTATGTAGTGGTTTTATCCCCAAAAATAAGGATGACAAAAAATATCATAATAATAAAATTGTAAAGCAACTTGTTTCTTAAATGTTCTAGAAAACAAATTACGGAAAAATTTAATACTTTCCGAGATATTGAGTGTACACTTAAATTAACCACCTGGTATAGTTGAAAATAATGTATCAACATTATAGCATTTTCAACTATAGCTGTTTAATTTTCAGCCTTATATTTTATGAACTACGATGTCTGGCTATTAAATAACGAGACTGCGCGCGCAAAGAGCGTCCTAAAGAGGTTCGCTGGAAGTGTCTATTATGCAAGTACAAAAATAGGATTTTGTTGGTACATTAGTATTTTTTCTGTAGTGGTTGGAAACGAACGTGTTTTTTTCTCTTACCGAAAACAATGTGTGACGAAAAACATAAGCAACGGATAAATGTAAAATTTCTCATTAAACTAAAAAAAAACTCCAACTGAGTGCTATAAGTTGTTAAAAGAGGTCTATGGTGAAGATACCCTATCTCGGGCGCGTGTTTTTGAGTGGCAGAAACGATTTTCTGAAGGTCGAGAGTGCACCGGCGATGACCAACGTCCTGGTCGACCTGTCCACGTTTCGACGCCACAAAAAGTGGCTAAAATTAATGAAATTGTGCGAAAAGATTGTCATATGAGCATTCGGATGGCTGCTGAGGTTGTAAACGCCGATAAAGAGACCATCAGAAAAATTTTACACGACGAATTGAACATGAAGAAAGTCTGTGCGAAGTTGGTCCCAAAAAATTTGACTCCTGATCAAAAACTCTTCCGTCAACAGATCTGCTCAGACATTCTTGAGAGGTTAGAAGAAGAGCCTGAATTGATGGAAAACATCATCACCTGCGTTGAAACATGGATATTCCAATACGATGTCGAAACTAAGCGGCAATCCATGTATTGGAAGACTCCTGCATCGCCAAGAATGAAAAAAGCAAGGATGCTGAAATCCAAATTCAAAGCCACGCTGATCGTTTTCTTCGATACCAACGGCATCGTGATGACTGAATGGGTTCCAGAGGGTCAAACTGTGAACTAACATTACTATTTGACAGTTTTGGCAACATTGCGCGAACGAGTTCGTAAGAAACGGCCGATGTTGTGGAAAAACAAGTCGTAGATCTTGCACCAGGATAACGCACCTGCCCATAACACGCTGTCTGTGAAGTGTTATTGGGCCGCTAAAGGCACTCCAGTGCTTTAACACGTACCTTACTAACCCGACTTGGCACCCTGCGACTTTTACTTGTTTCCGAAGATCAAGTCTGCCTTAAAAGGAACTCGGTTCGAGTCGATGGAAGAGGTGAAACGAGAATCGGCGGAACTCGTGAATGGTCTTACGAAAATAAACTTCCAACACTGCTTCGCGCAATGGAAGAAACGAATGAAACGGTGTGTGGAGAGTATAGGAGAGTATATTGAAGGAGAACATTCGGTTGTGGAATATTTTTTAAAATAAAACCATTTTCATAAGCAGTCTCGTTATTTAATAGCCAGACCTCGTATATTAAAAGTAGGCACTATTATATTTTCTATTGTCAAATACCTGTCAAACGATTTTGCTCAGGTGTCAACCTCGTTTGTAAAACCGTACAATGTGATACTGCAGACAATGCACACGACACTGAAGTACTCGCTACTCAGACTACGCTTACATGGTAGAGACAACGAGGCCATTTACGATAAATTTCGCAGGAATCTGGACATCGAACGGCCCACGTACACCAACCTGAAACCAGCTAATTGGATAGATAGTGTCATCAATCACAGCGCCGCATCTGACGTCGTCGTGGATTCACTTTTCTTGTGCACCGGTTATATAAACTGAGAAGGTATCGTAGGACACCAGCTTCTCGGGCAACTATCCGTGACCGATATAGCCAACTCCAAACTGGCAAAACAGATAATCAAGTACTTTCCGCATCATGGCAAGTCCATGGTGTACTACATCATGTACCGTGATAACGTGGTGTCCAAAGACGTGATCTCGACCTTAGTCACAAGACCAAGAAAACGATAATGTTCGTAAAATGGTGCCCGAATGTGTTTAAGTCAGATCCAGTGGGCAGTATACATGCAACACAACTGTCATTGCTGAAGCCTGCACTCAATTTGACCATAAGTTTGACGCGTTAAATTAATTACTATTCACTTACATACCTAATTGACTAGGTAAAGAAATTTAATACCACCAAAAATGGTCCTGACTGAACCTTGGTCCACTTTATTACCTATATATATAGATGTATTATTTTTATAAATTTATTGATTACAATTAAATTTTGCCCGATAATGCCTAGCAGCCATGGCTAAAGTCTTTTTTATCAAGAATCTATACTAATAAGAATACTATATAAGAAAATATAAAACTAAATAAATAAAAATACTATACTACTACAGTATACAGTAAACAATAGTCAAGACCGTAGTATTCAACATAAAAAGAAATAATATAATGGTGTACAAAATATAGATATTTTCTTATCATCGTTTTTATTTTTCTGCTAGTACCTACTTTTTATAATGTACATACAATATTATGTTGAGAATAGTATTAAGTACAGGCTCTAGTACACCAGATTAGATTACATGCAATATTCAAAACAATCAACTATATCATAATAGATTATGCTAGATTATGCTTTTTAAATCATCATTTCAGAAATAATCAAACAATGCTGAAAAAATGTCAGCGTCAATTGTTTGTTTCTTCAGTTTTAAACAGTTTATAAAGTCTTCTTTAATTTCTCCTACGTCCAGCCCACATACCGAATATAGATAAGTAGTAATGCTTTATTAAAAATTTCAGTCAACTCAACTAATCTAATTGAAGAGCATAGATCTTTGACCTTTTTATTTTATTTTGAAGTCGTTGATAAATATCATCGCTCATTGTAATTATGCGATTTGAAACGGTATCATTAGAATTTAAAACAGCCTTTATAGACCTAAAAAAGGCTGAAATAAAACGGTTCTCACGCTGTAAGAAATAGGTGTTGAACAACATAACCAAAAAATAATGGATAGTCTTTACAAAAATCGAACAGCTTACACTAAAAAAGGAGAAATCACTGCTAGCGCTCAGAATCTAAAAAAAGTCCGATGCACGTTATCATCTCCACTTTTCAATTACTACATCAAAAAATTAATAAATATATTGAAAACAGCGCGTAAAACCGCTTCCGAAAAATTTATAGGGTGTCAACAGCCTTTGTAAAATTCTGTCAAATAGTATGAGAAATCCTAAAAAAGACTGCCAGATTATTTTATTTCAAACTACATGTGAGAGGAGGTATCATAGTGCATGATCTGCAAAAGCGATATAGCTTTAATAGGAGAAAATCTGGAATAAGTTAACAATAGACTTGAGGAATAGAAAGTAGCACTTAAAGCTGAGACTAAAGATAAACTGAAGTAAAAAGAGTATGAGTTTAGAGAAATTATATTTTATTATGTTAATAGATACAATTTCATGGACCAACAAGTATTTGCTCTGTGATATCTATCACCTTACAAAAGAATAAAAATATAATAAAACACACAGTTTTTAGTATTAATTACCCTTCAAAAAATTGTTGGTTCTATATTTATACATTTAAATTAAAATATAAAAATATTATATGTATATTAGTTATTTAAATTTTGTATTCTGTTGAAATATAACAATAATTAAATAAATATATGTTAGACAAAAGAATTTAGTAACTCAATTTTCAGTTTTTAGAAAATATGGTCTATTTTATTTCTAAATTTTCTTTGTCAATTTTTCTAAAATACTGAGTACAAACAAAAATATATAAAATTATTAAAAAACAATTAAATTTAGTCAAAATGTAGTTAATTCTATTACAGTTCTACAAATAGAAAACAATACTACTTAGGTATATTCAATCCACACTACTAACTAAAATTACATTCATAAACATACAGAATATATAGATGTTAACAAAAAGTAAATTTGGGAGTGACAAATGTTTCAAATGCTTAATAGTTAATGTTTAAAATGTTTGTATGGTTGAAATTGTTAATAGTTACCAAAGTAAAACTAATCTTTAACCATTTTATGAAATAAACATTAATTAAGATATACAGTGGAATCCGCTTAATGAGGACACATCAAGAGGTAATTTATTTGTCCCCATTATCAATGACTGTTATCCGACTGTTCTAATTACCCAAATTAACGAAAAACCTGAAAAAACTATTCAAATGCATATACACACATACATAATAATTTTTTTTTTTAATTTTATGAGTAGTACTAATTAACAGTAGTAGTAGTATTAATTAATTGATTGATTTATTATACATATATATATATATTATAAATTAATTGATAAACCATTAATTGATAATTTTCAGAAAATATATACATACATACTTAATTTATAATTTGATATGCTGGAATGTATGTATGTATGAAAAATGGTCCATTCTTCTTTGTTGTAATTTATTAAGACTTTGCTTATTGACAAAGTCTGCACAAGTCAAGTGAAGTTATTGTAACACTTTCATTTCCATTTTGCATGAAATATAGTCTCAGTTGATCAATGCACTTTTCTGCTTCTCTAGTATAATTTTGACTGGCTCCATGTCGCCTTCACTTTCTTTATTTTGCAGACTTCTCTCAACAATTTTGTTAAGAAAGTAATTATTTATAGGGGTATTTAAAGATATATATGTCTCTTATAACCAATGATTTGTCTTCAGTAAACAAAGTTAAATTGCCTAAAACTATGACAATTTGTCCCCATTAAACAGATTCTACTGTATATCTTTATAAAAATATAAAAATAAATAAAAAAAAAATAAATAAAAATATGATATAACTTGATAAATTATACTTATCATCATATTCATCATATATCATCATTATCATCATTATTGTAATATTTAGTATTAAATACACAGAAATTCTTTGTAAGGTATTTTACTTTTGAAATGATTGCTTCTAATAGATTAGCTCAAGTTTTTTAATTATTACATCAAATTTTTAGTTATAATATAACTAATTGAAAACATAATTCAATAACAAGCATACACAACAACTATGAAAAATTAACTTAAAAAAATACAAGAATATCTTAATAGTATAGTAATATTTCAATTCCACAGTGGATTTTAACTAGGGACCTGGATGTATATGGACAACAAATCCTCAATATATGTTTCTTAAAATACTACACGATACATATTTATTTTTAAACAAACTTAAAAATTGAATAAAATTGAAATCACTTTATTTTATTAAATATAATATGTAATATTTTATTTCACCAATGAAATTTTAATTTTCATACAAAATATTCTTAAACTAAAATATATTAACACACATTAGAAAAAAATTGAAATAAATAAAAATATATATTATAAAATATTCATAAAAATATTTTAATTGTAATTGGCAGTTGCAGCCACTATTGCAGGTGGGAAGTTAGGGAGCTAGAATACAGAAGAGAATTTAATGTGTAACTGTAAGCAACAATAAACCATTGCTAACCAAAAAACAATTCACAGATGAACAAATAAATTTCTCACTTCACTCAGAATTAAAAAAATTCACTTTAAAATTACGAACACATTAAATATGCAATCAATTTAAACAGTTAAAATATGTAAAACACAATATTGGTGTTATTTTAATGAAAATGATTTAAATTGGTTAATTTTTTTAACAGATTTCAAATACCTTATTCTAATAAATATATTATGCATTTGCATAAAAATCCATATAATACATATAATATACAATAATAAATATTGTTATTCAAGTTCAATAAGCACAAAAACTATGTATGTTTGGTATTTTTTTTTTGTTGTTGTAGTGGTTTCGGATATATTTTTTCATAATGAAAGTTAGGAGGTGGTAATTCATCAGCAGATTTCCAATCTTTAGATAGTACATTTGGAAATTGTTTAGCATATGCAAATGCAAATTCTCTAGCTACAAATGTATATAGTTCGTTTTCCATTTGCCACACAGTAGAATCGTGAAATTTTTTAACAGTTTTCCGAGAGACAGGATATTTCTTAGCTGTCTTTCTGAGATGAGACTTGGAGCCTAAAAAAAATGAATATTAAATAATAAAAATATGTTAACATTTTGAATGTGAATAAGGGAATTTTTTATCATCAACCATTCATTTTCATGGAGTATTTTAAGTGAATTTAATTTTTAATTAATTTTTTTAACCATTGTGGAATCATTAAAGCTTAATTTTAAAACTATTTTTAATTTTTTTCTTCATTTCATATACTTGAAATAAGTATATAATTTTGTTTTTCAAATAGCAACTTTTGATTCTTTTAAATAGATTCCAATAAAGAATATTTTTCTAGAAATTTTGAAATGCATAACACTAATATCAAATTTATCATTTGTAAGTTATTACTATACTATTTTTCACGAGATAAAGGTAGTGTTTCGCACACGCAGCTGAGCTACGGATCCCTTAATGGTGGGAGCTTTGGAGTAACAATGACTGGTTTTTGTCAAGACTCTCTACCATTCATTCATGAAAAATATTATAGTTTATATTTAGACTGGATGAGTAGGGAAGAGTTATCAATTTATCATTTCAAAATAGATATGCAAATCTGATATTTGTGTTATACATATCAAAAGTTTAGAAACATTTTCCATTTTTGAATCTATGTTCAATAAGGAACATTTTGATTTGAAAAATTAAAGTTTATAGTTATTTAAGGTATATAGAATAGGGGTAAAAAATTAAAATAAATCTTTAAGTCACTCAGTATACAGTCAATTATAGTGTTTTTGTTGCATATAGTCTAACACAGTGTTTCTCAACCAAGGTGCCAACTAATTATTTAGGGTGTTGCATTGTTGCTACAGTAGAAAGGTTGAGAAACACTGGTCTAATATACACTTTCATGTACTATATGCGTTCTACTTTTTCCACAGCACAATTATTATAACATTTTATTTAGTGGGATTTAAAAGTTATACAAGGTGTGACAATTAAGTAATGAAACTAATTTTTTTGTCCTGTGGCAGCACTATAAACCTGTAACTTCAGGTCGTTAATTTCCTAATCTTAATCTATTAATAGATGTATTTGATATTTTCATACAGTCATTAGTTCACTGTTTGTGTTGGTTCATTTAAGTCAGGGTCACAATGCGTGTCATGAATCAAGTGATATCAATATCAAGTTTTGTGTGAAACTTGGCAAATCTGTGACAAAAACACTTGATAAAGTGGTTAAAGTGTTCAGTGATGAAGCCATGAGTTATGCACAAGTATTCCAGTGTCATAAATAATTTAAAGGGATGAACTGCGAAGTGGAAGGGCAGTTGGGTGCAGGCTCTTGTGCATCAAGATAGGCCGCTAACTAATTCAAATTTTATCTGGTGAATTAAACATTAATCCTGAAACAATTAGAAAGATTTTGGTTGAAGATTTGTGCATGAAAAAACTTTGTGCAAAAATGGTTCCAAAATACTTTTCAAAAGAACAAAAACATGTAAGAAAGACTGTAGTACAGGATTGTCTTGAACAGGTAGAAAATAATACAATCTTTTTGAAATTTGTAGTTACTGGTAGAGTTGGTTCTTTCAGTATGATCCAGAAACAAAGCAGCAGAGCCAACAGTAGCTGTATTCTGGCTCAGCAAGGCCAAAAAAAGAAAGAATAAGCAAATCAAAAGTCAAATAATGATGATTTGCTTCTTTGACAGCAGTGAGGCGGCAGTGCATATGGCCACCTGGACAGACTGTTTATCAACAGTTCTACATCGAAGTACATGAAAAATATTTGCAAAAAATAATCATTACAGTCCACCCAGACATCATAAACACATGGATCACCATGACAATGCGCCTTGTCACCATGCCTTCAGTGTGACGCAATTTTTGATCTCAAAAAATATTACAATATTGCCCCAGCCACCATATTCTCAAACAGGCAGTAAAAGGAATACATTTCGAGTTGGTAACAGACCAAACTTTCTCTGAAGAAAGTACTCCAGGAGTTTCCAGTAAATGACTTCCAGAAATCTTACGAAAAAGCGTGGGATACAATATGTTACTACCCAAGAAGAATACTTTGATGGGGACCATATCAATGTGCCTTAATTTTTAAATATACATAATTTTTGCAATGTGCCTTATTACTTAATTGTCAGTTCTAATATATACATTTTATACATATTTTTGTACATTTGATTAATTTCATATAAATGAAATATTGGTAGTGCCATACAGAAAACTAGAAAATACATTTTTATTAATACTGTTTAGTATTTACTCACAATATTTTTTCAGTTTTATAATTATCTAATATTAACCAGTCCTCAGCCATTTTTCATGAAATATACAAAATATACATTATAAGGTATTGATATATAAATATCTATACTTTTTCAATAAAACTGTGTTATCAATAATAATAAGTTATATATAATTATTTCTACATAATTTGATTTTCTTCTTTTTCAAGTCCAGCTAATTATTATTAAAACTACAAGTTTGTTATTATACTTTAAAACAATTAACTAAACTAGCTGTATTGTCCTGTATTTTCTGGCCTCAATTATTTCACAAATATAAACCAATAAATTAAAATCTATGTCCCTAAAGTAACCCAAAAACAAAAAAATTAATTTTTGCAACTCCACCGGAACTACTGTGATTTGGTGTTATGAAAGAGATTGGAAAGCTTGTATAGTTTTTAATTAAGATGGTTTAGACACAGCCCAAAGTTGAGTCAATATTCCTAAATTGGTATAATAAATGTAAGATTTATAAGTTAGCAGTCTAGTTTTTAATAAAAGTTTAAAATATTCAAATAAGACATATTGATTTTAAACCTGTATTTCGAGTAAGTCTGTTAAGTGAAACTAAGATATTATATAACATAATGAATATACTGTAGAGCACACACAACACTATTCAAAATAATGACCCTTGGGCAAACTCAACAAAAATGTATAAATTTGAATAATACATACTATGCTGGAAATGTTCAGAAGCATTACGAAACATATCACCTGGAATCACGAGTTCCAGCATTTGTAGAAATTGTGTCAGTTTTTCAGTGACTCCCACTAAGGTGTATTTTTCGAGAACATTACGTTTGGCTTGGCGCAATGCCCACTCACTTCCTGGAGTCCTAAAAAGTAATATAACAATAATTAATAATACTACTCATTATTACATCAATAAGATAATACTTCATTAACTCAAAATATTTAACAAGTAATAACTGGAAATGTTAAAAATTTTACATTGATACAAAATATTAGTAATACTAGGAACTATTTGATTTTCAACTGAACCAGAGGAGTTCAATAGTTAGAAAATCAAACTGAACATTTGCAATAATTGAACTAAACAAATATGTGATAAAGTTTCAATTTAGATACCTGTTACATGGATGTATCTGTATTGGGATATTCTAGGAACATCAGAACTAACATTTTCCAAAGCTGGATAAGTGGTGATATCCAAAAGACAAAAACTACCTCCACAATCAATGGAAAGTATGTGTTTTTGAAGGACAATATTTTAATATTAATTAATTAACTTTGAATATACCTATTCAATTTTTATTTATATATTTATTTTAATAATATTGCATTTCATTGTTCATTATTTTATTAATCTTTAATGACATTAATCTGTAATTCTGTTAGTTAATAGAGGAAAAAATATGATAATTGATAGGTATGTCAGTGTTTAATATTTGTATGACAATATAATTATAACTTAATGTTAATAGACAAATAATAATAATAATATATATTAATCATCAATGATTGTTTTATAAATAAAAAATGTTTTTCTGAACAATAGAATATTTTACATTTTGAAATTTAAACATTATCATTTTAGATTCTAAATGTAGCAAAGATGTTTTTTTTTTTTTATATATATATACTGTATACAAAAATTCTACCAGAAATCTTTGTATGATGTATTGATGTATATAATATAAACCTTTTTATGAAAAAAAATCTGACTAAGGAGGTATTTTAGAGCAGTCATTTTTTATTTTCCCAGGAGTTTCCTCAACAAATGTGAAAAATCATGAAAAATCATGGAAACCTAGAAAATCAGTACTATATTAGATGAACATTATTAAAGAAAATTAATTATTTTACCATAATATTTATTTATTTCGTATGGCTTTTAACACAAATCAACTTAACTATCAAACTCTAACTAAAATATAAACTAAAACATAAACTAAAATATAAACTAAAAACAATACAAAACATGATATAGATATGAAGCTATACCAGTATAACTTACAATAGAACTATAATAAGTCAAAAATCATAAATAACAATAAAGGTGAGTCGTTCTTGCGATGTGGGTTCATAGACAGATGTCGAGGTTTGTAATTCAGGTAATTGCTTCGGGTGTCACTGCATGCAGGCCTTCAAAACCTTAGTTGAATTTTCTACCTTGGCAATCAACTACTATATGATTTATTGTTTGTTCCCCGTTTCCCTGTACTCTGGGACCAGCGTGTTTAATGAATTCGGGGTATATCCCATCAAAACCAGCTGCCTTATTTAATTTGGTTTTACTTAAGGCTTTATTAACCTCATCCATCCTCATTGTATGTTGTTGTAGTTTTTTTCTTTTGACGTCTGAGCTCTGCTTTTATGGTCCTACTGTGAACATTGCATGATTGCGTTTTGCCCATCTCTATAATTCTCGAAGCCACTTCATTTGCACTCAAAATTTCTTGTTTCTTCTTGCTAAGGCTGTGGTCTCCTAGTCTCTTCATCAGGCACCACGCTTTATGACTCGAGTGAGTAAAGTCTAATTCCGCAGTAGTTTCACTCCATCNCTGGGATATCGTACATGTAAAGGTTAAACAATGTTGGGGCAAGGACTGAACCTTGAGGGAGCCATTATTCACTGTCCTCCATCTGCTCCCTTTATTACCTAAGTAAACTTGGAAACGTCGATTTGCAAGGATTCCTTCTAGGAACCCCATTAACTTACTGCAATTGATAACCTTACTAAACTTGTACAGTAATCCATGTCTCCAGACCGTGTCATACGCAGCAGAGAAGTCAATGAAGGCTACGCTGGTTTTTAACTTCTTCTGAAAGCCGGCTTCAATTAGTGTTGTTAAGGCGAGGACCTGTTCTTCGCAACTTCTGTTGTTTCTGAAGCCCGCTTGCTCTACCGGAATAATCTCGTCAATATGAGGCTGTATTCTCTCCAGGATGAATCTCTCCAAGATCTTGTATGGGATGCTTAGCAACAAGATTGGGCGGTAGTCTACAGCCTCGGTTCCAGACTTTCCCGGTTTTAGAAGTGCGATAACTTTAGCCCTTTTGAACTGTTTTAAAATGTTTGTTGTGTCTAGGTAGCCACTCCTGTACTCTGGGACCAGCGTGTTTAATGAATTCGGGGTATATCCCATCAAAACCAGCTGCCTTATTTAATTTGGTTTGCTTAAGGCTTTATTAACCTCATCGAGCGTGAAGGGTGCACCAAACATTGTATGTTGTTGAAGTTTTTTCTTTTGACGTCTGAGCTTTGCTTTTATGGTCCTACTGTGAACCTTGCATGATTGCGTTTTGCCCATCTCTATAATTCTCGATGCCACCTCATTTGGCTCAGAATTTCTTGTTTCTTCTTGCTATGGCTGTGGTCTCCTAGTCTTTTCATCAGGCTCCACGCTTTATGACTCGAGTGAGTAAAGTCTAATTCCGCAGAGTTTCACTCCATCTCTGTTTCCTTATAGCATTTAGTCTACCAATGAGATCATCTGCTATTGTGCTGTTATTATTTTTCTGAAAGTCTTCAAATAATTTTGTACAGTCTTCATCCCAGCCAGATATGTAAAGTTTTCTAAAGCCCCTAGGGATGTGTTTACTCGCTACCGATTTGATAGCTCCCACAAATCGATCGTAAGAGCTAGCTTTAGGCGGGATCTAAGAGATTATATGGTCTAGTTCATTTCCATAATCGACCCAGTTAGCCTTCCTAAAATTCCAACGTGGTTTAGGTAAGGATCTTATCTATGGGATTTGTAGTCCGTAGTTCAGCAATATCGGACAGTGCTGACTATGTGAGACATTTCCCAGGATGTGTCTCGTTACTATAGTGTTGTCGCTTAAGGAGGTCCTAGAAGCTATGCTTAAGTCCGGAGTATAGTCTTTTAACCACCTTGCTGACCGGAAAGTACCCTTTGGCTACTTTCCTTACTTTTACTATCTTTGGCGTTATATATGAGTTTCATGTTGTGTAAGACCATCCATTCCTGAAGTTTGTTTCCATTAGCATCATTTTCGTTGTACCCCATTCCAGACTGTGACTGATAAAATCACCTACGTATAAGGCAGGGTGATCGAATGTTTTAATAGTGGGGGACTTCCATTGGGTGTTAGGTGGCTTATATATATTAGCGACAGTCACAGTCCCTATGAGGGCTGCCATCTTGGTTATCTTCGAAAATAATCCGGCACATATCTATATCTTCTTTAATATATGTGGCCACACCATATTGTTTGTAGTGTATCGTTCCAAGTAGCAGGTAATCTTGTATGAATCCCCTTTTTCCTATATCCTCATCGTTTAATGTGTGGGTTTCTTGTAATGCGATTACATCAACCCTTTCTTTATTCATAATTTTTGACAAAACTTCACATTTTAATTTTAAAATTCCTTCAATATTGAAGTGGCACACCCTGAGTTCACCACCAATACTTAGCGTTAGGTGGTCCTTAAAAGGACCATTTTTATTTGTCATCGCTGACAGTGGCGTTGATTTGGGTTGCTGGGTATCAGCGCCTAGTGGTGGTATTGATACGTTAGTTTTATACCGGAATCACATACAACTAAACATATGCAGGGAGGGCTATGAGCAAGCTACCATCATCCTACCATAATATGACATATATATTGTTGTCAAATCATCACTATCAACTAAATGGTGCTCAGTCATTTTTAATAAGCAATGGTTTATCATTGCTTACAGATACAAACTAATTTCCCCTTCTCACCAATAACAGTGGCTGCATTCCCCATTATCTTAGGGCAACTTTTGTTAAAGCTCAGTTCAGATTTGAATAAAAAACTGTATGCATTAAAAGAAGTTTGTTTTAAGTTTAGTTCAACCTTGAAATCAGGGCTACTAAAAAATGTAATATAATGTACAAACCAACAATCAGCTGACTGGCCACACAAGAATGGGATTTGTAACCAAAGAAGATTGGCTTGGCAATCTGGTCCACCTCGATCAACACACTCATCAAAAGTTGTTGCTGAATCCATATGTTTTTTACGTACTAAATGTGGTCGATAATCATCGCCATAGCGTAGAAAATAATAATATGAAACCAATCTGTCCAAGGGTTTTCGTAACAATTGAATATAATGTGGCTTCTTATATCCATATCTACAAACAAAATAATTAAAAACATAAAAATTATTGGGATTAATAATAAAAATACATAGTAAAATAAAGTATAAAATAAGTTAATATTAAAATATTAAAATTACCGTTCAAAATCTATGTATGCAAAGTGTCCATGGTAAAATGCAGGCAGCAACCATTGTGTTGTATTATCAATGAATCGAAACTAAAAGTCAACATTGATGATTTGTGAGTGTTGATAGATTCAAATTTTAGTTATTTTTACACTTTTTAAAATGCAACTTTTATAAAAAAAAAAGATTAAATGTTGAGAATTTTAATTTTAATTGTTTATGAAATAATTCTAATTAATACCAAATTTTATATAAATTTTTAAACAATTTCCAGTCTTTTTTTTTCCTAATAGGAAAATAAACATTATATTCTTATGGAGTTTAGACCAGTAAAAAACAAAAACATAAATTTATATTGTAAATTTTTAGTTTTTTGTATTTTATAAGTATTTCTACATTTTAATGTTTTTTTTTAAGTGACAAATCCCTTATTGTATTTTTGGTATAAATCTAGATTGAATGATCGAGAAAACCATTTTAAAAAAATTTAAAATTTGTCTTAAGGTTTCGCGTAAATATCTATTTATTTTTACAAAAATGTTTTCACATTTGACCATAACGTATTGGATAAAGCGGTATAAAGTTCAATCAATACCTATCTATCTTAAAAAATTTTAGCATCTTTTTTTTTTGTATGTAAACACGTGTCTAACGTGGTTTTGCACAACAAATCAATGGTTTTTTTTTTGTTTAAAAGTCTCGAGTGAGCACAGCAAAATTTATACTATAATAACAACAAACTTCAAACTTTATAAATAAAGGTTTCCAAACATTCAAAATCAGTGTCAAAAAACACATATTTTCAACAAAAAAATTGAAAAATAAAAAGTACCTGGAAAACTACATTTGTTCCATATTATTAATTACACCTACTATTTTGAAAATAAAGGTTTATTTAAAGATAATATTGATAACTATAGATTTTGATACTAATTGTTTGAGTGATATTTGAAATAAACTAGTATAATATTCATTTAAAATTATAATTATTTACTTTTAAGGATACATCATCTGTAGATGTATAAAATTAATATGAAGTTGAATTACTATAAAACACTTGTTGGTATTATATTAAAAATTTTGTTTTGTTATTACCCAATGAATAAAATTGAAGAATTCTTAACACCATTTTTTTTTCTTTTTTATAATTTAATTAAACTGATATTAAGTTTAAAAATACATGTAATTAAATATAAAGTAGGTACTTTATATTTAATATCTAAATTCTAATTTATTTATTTCCTTTAAACTGAATTAATTTCAATAATTTATTAATTTGTTTATCGAATATCCAGTAAAAAAATTATAGGAAATGTGTAATATACCTGATCATAGAGCGAAAGCAAATGAGAGTTGCCTGTGACATTGACATGAAGTACACGAAATGAATTACGTGCATGTAAATCATATGCAACATTGACAAAACTTGTTGATCCAGTCTTAGGCACCCTATTGTATATTACCAGAGGCTTTTGGTCTTTAAGTAATGGAACAGAATTATGATGGTATTGAAAAGCAGCAGCTTCTACAAAAATACACATGCAAAGTAAGTGACATTATAATATATGGAAGAAAAAACCAAAATCAGTAGAAAAATCAAATAAGCTAACAGATAAAATGATTTTGTACTTACTGAAACGTCGATTGATATTATCACTATGCATCAATTTAGATACAGCACTTTGAATTTGAAAATGTTGTTGGCGTAGTAACACATGATATGCTATATAAGCACCCAAGACCACTAGAACACTTAATAAAACAAATACAACCAAGTACACGTGCATCATTTTCTGATGTCTAACCCTGAAAAACATGGTGGCAGATGTGAAGTGTTCAAATCATTGTTTCCAATCTATAAAATGGTAGAAGACGTAGTTGCCAAATTTTGTATGGAGAACGTAGTTATCGGATTCCATCACTTACATAAAAAAAAAACCAAAGAGGCAAATGATTACTCAAGACAAACATTAAGCACAGAATTGGAAAACCAAAGTGAAAGTAGTAATTATATAAATACAAAAATTACACTTACATGATATTATTATTTTCATCAGTTTTAAATAGTTCGGTGTCTAAGTTATCACTATTGGTTAAATAGTAGTTTAATTTTCTGGATAACTGAATTGTGTGTTGTAGTCTTAGTATCAAGTAAACCGTTAGAGTAACTTAACAAATAATAACAATAATATTACAAAAATGATTATATCTGTTAAATAGAAACAATATTTATCTTCAGTTATATGATTTACATTGCTTTGCAAAACTACACCAAATAATGTATCAGAAAATGTACAAAAACACTCGCATAGGTTTTACCGGGATGGCAAAAAATTAATAAATTGACCGAGGCCGATAGGTGTCAATCAATAAACCTTAACTCTGTAAGTTTTAATGTGATGAATACAAAACATAAAGAAAAACTACGTCTCATTGTAATCAACTAAGTAAGCGCTTGTCAGTGATAACGATTGTAGAGGAATTTGATAACACTGGCAAGAAAAGATAACAAATAAACATCTACATTCTAAAAAATAATAGTAAAATATTATATATCTACCTACTAACTTCAAACTTGATAGGTAATTAGTTTGGTAGTACCAAGGTATCGTTTATAATATTTATAAACTTTTTATCTTGTAAACCTAATTTCATCACGTTAATTTATTTTAAAATGTCCATGCTTTACTCACAGGCACACAAATCCTAAATGTAAGATCATTATTGTTCTGCTATTAAAAAAAAAATCATATGATAGATAAATATTGTTTTAATAATCTTATATCAATATATTTACTTCAAAATATATTCATATTAATGTTAAATAAAACCTCATTATACCTACAAAACTCAAACATTTGTAAAACTCAGGGTTTGACATGTTATAAAAAATACCTAATGAAAGTAGTTAAGACGTTTTGTCCCCGAGATATTTTACTTATATTGCGTTTGGTTTTAGTAATTTTTAAAAATGAACCAATATATGTAGGCCGGTACCCAGCTAATAAATATTTGATGTGATTGTACTAGATAGATAGTCAGACAGGTGTGTGTTTAGGTACTGAATTTCTATTATAAATTTATGTAAATTACACTACTGATGTCCAGTCCGACGTTGCTTGTGCTAAACAAATGTGTAATAATAACGTTTTTCCTTTGAATTCCCTGTTCCAATCTCCATCAATATCATTACAGTCAACTGTTGTTACATTTAAATTTTATATTTTGATTTTTGAATGTTGTGAAAAATTTATTGGTTTCACACAAATTTGTATTTATTTTTTTTGTTATTTGAACACTTTTTCTACTAGAATGCTTACTCTGATGTATAAGATGTAAACCTTCTCAGAAGTTTTCTCACCAAATTTGAAAAACTAAAAAAAACTGAGGAAAAACGAGAAAATATAAGGAATGTAGGTATTAATTAAAATGTATTACGGCCTTCTTTTTTTCTGTGAACAACTTTTCTACCAGCAATTTTGCTCCAATTTATAATGATAGCAATTTTTCTGATAGGAAATTTGACTGAGAAAACCGGAAATACGTAGGAAAACTGGGAAAATCGGTACAACATTAAACAAATATTATTAAAGAAAATATATAAAGCCTATTTAATTATTTTACTATAAAATGGCATATAATGTTAACAAATCATTACTAACTGAATTTCGTTCAGAATCGTTTTTTCGTAATTAATAGTTTATCGTCGCTTACAGGTATACATTAAATTATCTATAACAGTGGCTGCATCTGTCCCCATTATTCTAAGATTTCTTTTTAAAAACTATATATATATATATATATATATAAACATACGGAAAGAAAAACATTAATAAATAGGTAAATTATATTTTAGTATCCAAAGAAAAATTGCTATGCTTTGTAATTTTTAATATTTTTTATTTTATATTTTTCTACTTATTGTAAACGGGCGGTGCGCAAATGATGACCGCCGACTGAATTATGTTTGAAAACTGGTGAGAGTGATGTGGAGGGCTAAGCCCCCAATGGGTTGGGTCGATTTAAATAATTGCAAGGTACGCTCATTTTTTATGTTTTATAGAAACTTTTTTTATTTTATCAATTCGAGCACTGGAAGGTAGTAAGGGGGAAATTTAATCTATAACTATACGCAACGAAACATGTTAATGTATCACACATTTATATCCGATGAATAGTTTCTAAGGGGGACGCGTATTAAGTACGAAAATATATTTTTAGAATGATATTTTATCAGAAAAATATTTACATCGAACCATATTTTAATGGGAAAATATTTTGTTAAAGCCGTATTTTGATAGAAAATACCTTTAAAGGTGATAACACTGATATCTCATATCATCTGTTAACCGCTGAACCACGAATTAAGATATACCCATAGACAATGCATAATGTATTACCTTTGGATATACCTTATACCTTAATTCGTGCGCTAAATATTGGTTTCTCTACTACGAAGTACGGTTATATAATATATACTTAGATACATCAAATCCATAACCCTCATTACTCAATGCTCATTGTTAATTAATTATATAAATCAGTCAATGGCATCAATCTACTTTATTGGTAATACAACCACCTACAATTTGCATCTACCTACGACTTTACTGTGGACATAGATATAAATATATCTATAACCATGATGTCGCTTGCCTTTTCAACAGCGTATTTAATATAACTAATTTTTTAACTAAATACAGTTCCAATAAATTTGTCGACAAATTTATTTTCGGACTAAAAACTTTTCCATCTAGTAAAATATTTTTCTAGTATTTTATTTTCGTATAAATTATTTTTCGACTGAAATACCTTTCTAGTTAAATATTTTACTACTCGAATAAATATCGTAAATATATTTTCTACCTAATTTTTTTCCAACGAATTATTTTCGAACAAAATATAGGTCATCGTTTCTAAATAACAACCGTTTTAAATTATATTAATCCGTGTGAAAACCTATATTATTTAGAGAATAACCTAACCGTGTCATGCGAAAACATCGGTTTTCACACGGATTAATAGAATTTAAAACAGCTATTACTTAGAAATTATTCATGGAATATAACGTAAGGATAGATTAAAATTTTCAGAAAAATAAACTACAGAATGGCTATCTTAACATTTTTCTAAAATAATAAAATAAAGTTACCTTTATAATTTGTTTACAAAAAAAAAAAAAAAAAACTAAATTTGAATATATTATCTCCGAAGATATTCAAGGGGTCTTTGTGGAACAGCTTGTATGTATATATTATTATAGCAAAATAATTGCATATAATGCATTACAATGTAAGTATTATGTTTTCTCTGATAGTATTTATTTAATATTTTACCTATTTTCCCGTTTTTCTTACACTTTCCTATTTTTTTACATTTATTGGGAAAACTTATAGTTTGACCTGCTTAAAGTACCAACCCGCTCAGATTTTCTTTCACAAAATATTATTAATATTTTTCAGAAAATCTGCTGTCATTGTAAACTGAAGTGAAATTGCTGGTAGAAAAGTTGTTCACTAAAAAAACCAAACATCACTATTAAACCTATAAACCTATTTCCTTGCTCCGCTCTTAATCTAAAGAATAAAATACTAAAAAAATAGAGAGCAAAAATATTTCATTACCTTTAGGTACAGAAAAAAGGAAAGTTCGCAGACATTTTTTGTTAAGTACACTTTGTTTGGGTGAAGACAGTTTTAAACATTGGACAAAAAAAAAATACAGTAATTACTGAAATTCGAATAGAAGCTGATGACTTACCTGATAAGACAAATAATTCTCAAATATAAATTATTAAAAATTCTAAAAAACTAACAACACTTAGAAAAAAGATGGACATACTTTACACGATGGGTGGGCTACTGTTGTAGGGAAGAAGTTATAAAGGTTATAGGATATAGAGGGAATTTAAAGTATATCCGAACGCAAAAATTAATCTTTGCTAACGAAAAACAATTCAGGGCGAAATTCGATTATACATGTTTAAAAGGCGATTTTCAACAAAATTTGATATTACAATTTTTATAACAAAACAAACATTAAACTCAACTTTTTCTTGTTGACCACTAAGTACAACTTATAATAAACCTCCTATTGAATTATCAAGCATTTCCGTGAGGTCTGAAAATTGTAAGCACAGAGTACATACCGAATAAATATTACGTAAAAAATGTAGCAAAATTAAAATGTCTTATAGCTTAAAAATGGCTCGAATGAATTGAAAATGTTACCACGTCTATAGATAGAAAATATATAATGTTTCTATTAAAATTGAAAGTCCCTACAAATATTTTTCACTGAATTACAATAAAAATACAAAATTGAAAATAATAAAAGCATTATTTTCGAAAATTTTCCCGTTTTTTTTTTTTTTTATGGTTTTTGCCATTGGGAAAACTAAAGAAAAATCAAGAAATTATCTCCTTAAATTACCACCCCAGGAAAGATGCTTTTCTTAATATTTCGGAACAAAATTTCTAGTAAAATTTTTGTACACAGTATAAAAAAAAAACTTCTCTATAGTACCACTCAGATAAAATTTTCTTTAAAAAATATTATAACCATCATTGTATAATATTAATATTATTTTTGGACAAATAGATAACTATTAAATTTGTGTAGTTATATTGGCCAAACATAAGACATGAATATTTTGTATGGTTTCTAAAACCTATTACAAAATTATAAATATTTTATATAGGTATCTACACATAATATTATTATTTTTTTTTTTTGTTTTAATTAAATTTCTCAAAACTGACTTGTACATCATAAAACAATAACTATTATTGAATTTTTTGATTGCCTATTCTTTTATTTTTCCAATTCAAGCACTATTGAAGTACTAAGTAGTGTTAAATATAATTGAAGAGTTTGAAGCAAAAACCAGATAACTCCACTTTTTAAAATTGTTTAGGACGAATAAAAGGTTTTTTTTTTAATGACCAAGAATCAAACCATCAGTTATTACTCGAGAATGTTGAGTTAAATATTAAATAGCAAAATTAATGCACATCAGTAAAACCTGAAACACAAACATTGTTACCCATTTGACAATTAAACAACCAGGGTTCATCTTGCCAAGACAAATGTATGTAACATTAAATTGCTTGCAAACTGGCCACAGAATGCACAATCATATGATGCTTAAATAGAAACTATACATGTTATTTCTTCCTATAACTATGGACATAGATTAACAATCTTCCATTTAGTAATAGAATGTCTATAACATCTGGATATCAATTCCATATAACTTGGGCTATATAATAATAACTATGTATAAATATTGCTAGTTCTTATTATCATTATCATTGTTTATTTCTGTAATGTTTATTTTATTAATTTTATCTAGAAATTTATTAATATTTATGTCATGTTGAATTATATACTAAAATCTATTTTGTTTGTAATATGTATATTGTATACATTGTGGTGTTGTTCTAATTTATTATACACAATGTAAACATTATTCAATAAATTCAATATTATCAGATCATAAAGTAATCATTTTATAGATTAGTATTTGTAATTTAATAATAGGTACAGGGGTAGGTATTTAAAAAAATTAATTTTTCAAAATCTCTTATATAACGCCCTTAAAAATGTTAGGTGAACATGCATTTTAATACTGACTATATATTAAAAGATATTAGCATATGATAATTAATTGGCTAGTAAATGATAATGATATTAGCAAGGTTTAGAAATAATAGAAAATAATACATAAGTTACATAAAATCACCAAAACAAGCACTATAAATTATACCAAATATTAGAAAATTTTCCAAAATTAAATCTGATATTAATGCAGTATGATCTAACTTATACAATTTTAAAAATAACCAAACTATTGAAGTCCTAAATACGTAAAAAAAAAAATAGCAAAATATAGGCATCAAGAAAGTATGGAACCAATTTGTTTCTTACTCAGAATGTTCTAGGTGTCACTAAAAATAATAGACTAATACTTTTAAAACCAAATATTAGTAATAGCATAATATAATATAACAGAGAAATCAGAAATACTGAAATTGATTAAATATTATCATTTTTCCAAATATAATGATTTGGCATGATTAAAATTACTATTTTTTAGTTAATTTATTTTAATTCAGACTCTATATCCCATATATTTTTATTTGTTAATAAAAATTATCAATAAAATATCTTCTTATAGTTAGAAACGGAGCTAAGAAATATACTTGAACTTAATTATTTTAAATTTTAGTTTAGGGCTAGAAAAATTCTAATCTTCTAGTCAAGGTTAGGTAAGGTACTCAAAAAAAGTATCATGATACATGATACATTTATACTCCATATTTTATATTTTATATTTTCATTTGCATTTTATTAACTATTAAACGCCTATAAGCTATAGGCAAACTATATGTCTATACATAAATACTTATAAAGTCATTACATTACAAATAATACATACAATAAGTATATATACATTATAAATATACAACTAATACATCACTGTAAATGAATTATATTATTCAATATTCAAATCATAAATTCATGCATCTTCATGTCATAATTAATAATGAATTAATGCAATAGTCTATAATAAAAATTAAATGTTGTTTTTAGAAATAAAATCTTGATTGCCTTAAAGAAAAATTAATTTTTCAAACATTTTGTCGGATAGCTTAGATCAACTGGGTGGGTACACAAAACTAGTAAATGAAAATAAATACTCAACATGATCAGATAAACATAGACTAGTATTATATTTTATAAACAGTTTTTTTTATAGACAGATTGTTATTTAGGATAATTATATTTTTATGGCTAGCACATGGTAAATGATGAGAAAGAAAACATGTTTGCACATTACTTCCATCATCTTCAATATCTTGAAAATGTAAAGTTTGTAAAGTTTTCAGTTATAAGGTTACACTCATATCTAGAGAGTGGAGGATTTATATTTTAAGGGAACGAAAATTCCAGTTTAGTTCTTATCTGTATGACTGTAAGTTAAGGTGATCTTTAATCCCTTACTCAGTGGTGCCGAAGAACTAAAAATGTTGTTGGTGAATTCAAAGTGAAATTTAGCAATAATAAATACTATAAATGACGTTTATAGTATTATTATATTATTATTACTATAATTCAATTTATAGTATTTAGTGTTAACTTAAACTTCCTAATGAATTATATATATAAAAACGAGACAAATTGTCTGTGTAAAAGACTAGATTAGGATCTGATAAGATTATGTCTAGTACCGATTGTCCATATACGTCGTTTTTTCGAGGGGAACAATTGTCTTAAATCTGTCTTGAATATTGCCTATCTGTTGTGACGTTATTTTCTTCCGCTTTTCTTGTGCCCAAAATTAACCACAAATTATAACTTTCAATTTTTGTATCTATAACTTTCTTTTCTATTCACTCAAATCATCATAAAGGTCAAAATATTTCAGTAATCTAGGTTACAGAAAACCGTCCACATCGTCAAAACATGCATTTAGTGGTAGCTTAATATCGGAGTAGTCGATATTCGTAGTAATGTAAAATCGAAGTAGGTACATGCAGTATATGCTTGAAAAACTAAAAATAATAGTATAATATTGATATAACGAATTAGTGGTAGTGGTGATATCCAATTGTCCCTTATGTTTATGTTTGGATTTTACATATCTATTGTACTTTGTGTTATCATTTTATTATGAACAATCGTGCACTGATCTCTTTATGAATGATTTTACTCATTCAATTCATGATAGTCGTGTTTTATAAACCAATAAATCTTCATTTTTGTTTTTTGAGACATTTTTTTAATATTCTAGGTACTTATTATAAACTTGAAATTTATTGGTTGTACATTTTAGGTGTTACGTGCTCATATTTTTTTGGCAATTGGGAAAAAGTATCTATTTTGTTTTATAGTGTACACTATTATAATTTTTTGGTGTCCGATTCGTGAAAAAACTTGATACTAAATTGCATTTTCAATTTTGTCATCAAAATAAATTAAATAAATAATTTATCCAATGCATTAGAAACCTAAACCTATAATACATACAAAAGTAATGGATACGCCATCAACCAGTTATGTCAGCCAGAAACATTCCTGTGCTTGTTTGCTAAATAAATTCACCGAACGTGAAGCAGCGGCACACATTTTAACTGACTGTATTAATGTAGATACTTCTGCTGGTATTCTACAACAATCACACGATCATGAGGTAAATGCATTGACACGTAGCAAATTGCTAGATGACTTACTGGACTTAACATTTAACAATAAATGTTTTCAACCATATGACAAATTTTGGTTACGTTTCTTGATGGCAAGTGGTAAAACCCTTGAACAATTTAATAGTGCCGGTAAGATACATTAAAACATTTTTAACACTACTGCATAGTAAATACATATTTGTAAACTTTGTATTTATCAAATACAATTATTTGTTTTATAGTCAAGGATTATGATACTGGTAAAGAATGTGGATTTGTTTGGCTAAATGGTTTTGTGGTTTACACCTGCCACACTTGTAAATTTTCATCTGGCATATCTGTATGTGGAGATTGTTTCAAGCATGGCGATCACATTGGTCATGATGCTCATTTGTTTCTTTCTCAAGAAATTGGAGTATGCCACTGTGGAAACATAAACTTAATGAAGCTTGAAGGGTAGGATACTAGTATATGCATATTCCATTGCAATCTTTGTATTTTATATATAGTATATATAAAATAAAAAATATACTAGATTAATGAAATAAACAAATTTATAATCACTAATCAGTTAAGATCATTAAAAACACTACATTTTTAAACAGGGACTCAGGGAAAATATATTTTTATTTTTTATTTATAAAATTCAATATTTTGTTTAGTATCTGTATGTGCATAAAATATTAAGGAAATATTTAAATTTATTTTGATTTTAGATAAAAATATTTTGCATTCAATATTATATTATTATAAATTAGATAGTGTCTAAATTAATTTAATTAAAACATAAATAATATAGGTACAATTAGGCGCATATTTAAATTCCAAACATGATTTTTTAAAAATACCTATACAAGTATTAACGTTATTATATATATTACTGAAAAAAAGTGTAATAATGATGTACTTATATTTTATTTTGTTATAGATGCTGTTCTGAACATAGAAATCCAAATACAAGTGTTGGCAATACCTATAATAAAAAACAATCTCCAGCCGATTTATTTAGGGTAACCAAGAAACTTATGCCAAGACTTTTGTTAAAACTGGTGCAAATTTTACGTGAATATAGGTATTTTATAAATTCTAATATACCTACTTTTTAAATTTGAATGTTCTGAGCATTTAATCTAAAACATTGGAAATAGTTTTAATTTATTGATAAATAATAATACTATTGTTTGTCAGTTCTGTTGGTAATATTGACACTGAGATGAAAAATGAATTAGAATCTACAGAGTTGGATGGTTTTCTTAGTATGCTTTTCGACTTGATTAAATTGGGAACAGCTATGCAACAAATAATGACTGTATCTTTTACCGATAAAAAAGTATGTATAATTGAATTGTATCTGTATAGTATCTTAAATATCCTTTATTGCTTATATAGATATACCAGTGGGCTTGCAATTATCACAGTAACCCTTGTGAGCATTCTAGTCCTGTATCAATAATCTTAGAAGATGAAGACGATACCTCAGGTAAATAAGATATTTGTATGTATATTAAATATAATTGAGTAATTTTGTCTATATAATAATTTAGGTTAGATTATTTGGTTCAAGTTTGTTAATGTTTTTATTTAATTGCTTGCTATTAATTATGCTTTTTTAAATATTACACTCATAATATATATATATAAGGGGGAGGGGGTAGGACATAGAAAATTAGAGTAAAGCAACCAATTTTTACAGTTAATTACTGTTACTCAATACTGTTGGAATGAGGAAGTTATATAACAGGTCTATAGGTTAGTTTTTTATGAGCATAAGACCCTTTCTGGTTTCGATAGATATCACTAAAACTATCAATTTTAAGGTAGGTATATTGGTACACCAATTAGGTAGATCACATATTGATTTTTTTTAGTTAATTGAATTAATAAACTGATAAAAAAAAAAAAAAACATTACAATAAAAAATCAAATAAAGAAATTTAATTGAGTTTTTTTTTTTAAAAAAAAGTAAAAATGAAATTTGATAATATAAGCAAAGTAGTGTGTGAATTACACATAAGAAGTGTCATTAAATTGTCACTAATACATAATACATAATAATCACCAAATAATTTTTCATAATAGATAGGTTGATAGAATATTTTTGTATTTAAACTTTTGGTATATATTATTATACTGTATCTATGTATATAAGTTCTACATAATTTTAATTGGTTTTAAAAAAAGCTATTCAGAAGGCAATTATGATATTATTTATGATTGTAATAAAACAGCAAAACCGAATTCAATTTCTATCATATAGAATAGCAATATAGAATCATATAGCATTTCTCAATACTAATTAAATTATTGAGTTGGTATTTAAAACATAATATCATCTCAAAAATAAAACACATAGATACATTATTAATATATTTTATTACATATTATTAGTATTATGTATAGGACATAAAAGATATTGTGTTGTTTGGTGTGGTTAAAAATTATAAAATAAAAAAGACGGACATACTTCACATGATGAGTGCAGTCACTGTTGTTGGTGAGAAGTTGGGAAGGTTGGATATAGAGAGTAAATAATTTATATCTGTAAGCAACCACAGTCCATTGCTTACTAAAACGGAGTTCAGTTAATAGTGATCTATTGTCAACAATATTTATGTCATATTATGGTAAAATAATGAAATAAGCATTATATATTTTCTTTAATCATACTTGTTTAATATTGTTGGTATTTCCTGGATTTTCAATATTTTTCCAGGTTTCTTATGTTTTTTCCCAGTTTTAAAAATTTGTTGGGCAAACTTTTGAGAAAATCGTAAAATGACCTCCTTAATGTACCTTTCCAGTCAGATTTCCTTTCAGAAAAAGTGCTAATATTGTAAATCATAACAAAATTGTTAGTAGAAATGTACACAGAAAAAAAAGGCCATATTTTTTACTAATACCTACATTTCGTATATTTTCCGTTTTTCTAACATTTTATTCTTATGAAATTGTAGAAATTGCTTGAAAAATAATAATATCTTATTTTAATTTTAATTTTAATTTACAAAAAAAGAATTCATAAGTCATAATATTACTTACCATGATTTCACAAGAAATAAACAGCTCTAAACAAAATAAAAATAGTTTATAAAAACAGTCGTATTTTAATCTGTGGTATAAGTATTATAGTAAGGTAGATTTATATATCCACCTTGCATTAAAGCCATTAAATTGATCAAAAGACACGGAGGAAAAACAAAATAATCATTGTAAAACACGTTTTTATAATTTAAAAATATGGGTTCCGGTTATTTAAAAAGGTTTAAATTCGGTTCCGGTCCCAATATTTTAAGGTTTTTTTACGTTCTAGAACCCATTTTTTTTCGATTAGGTTCCAGTCCCTGGTATTATAACTCTTTTTCTTTGTCCAATCACCTTAAGATTGGTGCTGCACATTTTGTGTATATATTTAGTAAATTATATACTATATTCAGTGCTCAAATTGATAAAAAAAAAGAAGAGAGACTATAGACAAAAAAAAAAAATTAGCGTCCCTTGCAATTATTGGACTCAACTCGGGTAAGAGACAGCCCTCCACACCTCTCACCCCAATTTTCAAACATAATTCAGGAATTCATAATTTCCAAAAATAAACACTACTTACTGCAAACTAACTTTTGCTTACATAGTACCTACATTAATAGATATTTATTTTAGATTCTAATATTATGATGGTTACTACTATTATGATCATGTGTTTGTTCTTTTTCTGTAAATTAATAATTTTTCTACCTGAAATCTTTCTTTAATTGTCAAATTAATAGATGATGGTTCTTAGTAAATTATTGTTGTCTGCTTTGTGCAATAAGGAGGTTATATTTTGTTTCTCTATAGTATTTTTAATTATGAAGAAACACATAGAAAAAACATCAGGAAATCTTGCAACTGTTATATTTACTGCTTCTATTTTTAATTCTAGTCTGTTTATTCAATGAAAAATAATCGTAGAGGTCAGAAATTCCACTGAATACTTTTATAGGTATCTCATCAGCTGTTTCCAGACATGGTGTCTTGTATCCTCCACTGCGTCCACTTTAAATATATAGCAAAGGTAGGTACACTTACATTTCTGAAAAATTAGTTGAGGTACTCTGTCCCCTCAATTCGAGCACCAACAACTTCTTCTGCAAGTTTTGTTTTAAATGGTTTAAGTACAAAGAACTTTTATAGGTGATCTTGGTAAATCGAAAATCATTTACACTCTGCGATTGCATATCTATTTGTCCAATTCATATTCAAATACAAATTATAAAACAAAATTATTAAAAGTTATTGCAGTGCACAAACAGTAGGTACTGTGTAATTTATAGCCTACAGAATGTGTGTGTATATATACTGTTGTCTTATATAGGAAGCTACCGACTATTTCCATTTTGTCATCTTAGCATTTTTATTTCTAGCCGAGTTCTTACTAACAATATCTCTATTATAATTAATTATGATTACTATACTTAAAACTACTCGCTTTTATATAACAATTAAACAAATATTATTAAAGAAAATATTTAATGTACATATAATTATTTTACCATAATATGACATATATTGTTGATAAAGCTTAACTATCAACTAAACTCCATTCAGAATTGTTTTTCGCAATGATTTATCATTGTTTACAGATATAGGTACATTAAATTTCCCCTGTTCTATCTTTCCAACTTTTCATATACAACAGTGACCCACTCACATGGGAAGTATGTCCGTTTTTTCTGATTGATCAGTTGTAATTCTTATTGAATTCCTATATTTTTTTTTTTAGAGAGAGAGAGTCCTATAATAATGCTTAATAATTAATTCTGATTTTAATACTCAATATAACAGTTCTTAATGAACTAAATGAACTAAATTACCTACTAAATTGAAAACATTAGTGTAACCTAAGAAATTGAAGTTAACAATATTATTTATGAACTACATTTATGCGTTTATATTTTTTTCTTTTTTATAAAATCAAACACTTGTTTCAATATGTCGTTTTTTATTTGAGTTGAACCAGGTACAATTAGTCTTCTGATACATTAACATATACATATTATATTAAATTATTATATATGTAATAAACATTTAAACAGCTAGGTATCAATAAGTATTGATTAAACAATAAACTGCATGTGATTGAAATTAATTACTGATCCAATGTTTTAATGTTAATTTCCAATTAGAGGAACCTTCAAAAACGAAATTAATAAAATACAAATGAAGTTTAAAGTAAACTAACATCAATTATAGATACTTGCAAGCGCTCTCATGTTTATCAAAAATATAATTTTGATATTCAAATTAAAATAAAATCTTCTTGTATAGTATTATGTATTTTAAACTGCATCTGCATCTTTTATTTGGCCATTTTTTCTTTTAAAATAATTTTTAATTTTGAGAACATCAATATGTGTTTTGATGTTTTATGTCTTAAATAATTTTGTTTCTATTTACTTAATATATTTTATAAACAATCATATAAATGATAAAATAATTATAATAACCCACTATATAATTTGTACAAATGTAGTTTCAACTATATTTTCAATAAAATTGTGTTTATAATGATTTTCCCTTGGAAATTACAGATACATTTAACCCATTTGAAGTATTTTCCCAATTTATTGTATTTAATAGCCAAAATAAATCAAAATAAGTAGATATTTTATAACAGTCTGAAACACCATAATCCGAATGCGTAATTTACGACTTGTCAATTATCACTAAATTTAAATTGAAAAGTCTATGGTCATATTAGTTTAAAATTCGTTTAAAAAAAAGTAATTTCACGTGGTTTAGTGGTAATAATTACAGAAAGTTACTTGTAATATTTTCCGAAAATGATAATATTTTGGTAACATAATCCCGTCTCATAAATTGTTCGTAGATGTTACTATTAAATACCTTATTTTTTATTTTTACTTTCCATTTAGACTCTTAGCCACCAAAACTACTTCCTTCCATTGCTCTCTATCAAATATAGGAATTAGTTTCATTATGGGCCAATCCTCCATCAACAAATCTACTTTTAAGGGGCCGGGTAGTTTAAATTATAAATTATAAACATAAATAATACAAATAATGGAGTTTTAATACAATTTTAAATACATATCTATTATTACATTATATAATAAGTTAGACATTTTTTTTTACATAGTAGCTAGCCTTACAATTTTTTTGAGAAATTCACATGGAAATATTTAACTGATTCATCATTTAAATATTATGTAAAATTTATTTTTCTATTTTTTTTTTTTTTTTTTGGATAAAAATATTAACAATTTCTTTGATATTTAGAGGAATGTTACGATGAATCGTCATTCCTCAAAAACGTTTTAAGTCGACCTAGTGTTGAAAACTTCTTTCAAAAGTTTTATCGTATTTTATTGGCCATAAAATTGTATACCTAAAAAACAATGTAGGTACGGGCCGCGGTTGATGTCTTGATGGTTATGTAATATAGTATACATTATGTAAGTAATTGGGTAAACAAAGGTATATTTGTGATATTTCTTTGAGTATTTGTATCGAACATACTTATACATACCTATTTACTTGTAAATATCTACATAGCGTTGTTGAGTGCATGCGGTATACATTAACTGTTTACTATCAGTAAATATCGAAATTCATGAAATTACCTATATCACGGAAATACCTTACTTGTCCCTAAAGCAATATGCATAAAACGTTTTAATTGAATCTGAAATGTTACTATGGGCTCGTGCCTAGGGGCTCCCCCCCTTATATATGTCACTCTCATGAGCATATTTCCATCCTTCTTCTTCTTCAGGTGCATATCCGATTCTGAATGTTGACAATCATTCCAGCAATGCTTTCTCTGTCGGTTAACAATTGTTATAACAATATTTGTTCAGCTTTCCCATTTAGTTTTAGAGCCAAGCACAGTATGATACATCAGGTCTATAGAGTAGTGGATATAATCTCTTCTTCCCTTGAAATTAAATGTTTGTTAAAGCACAGATGGATGTATAGGATTCAGTTATGGGGATCGGCTTTAATAAAATTATAAACATATCAAAATATCACTCTTCACAAAATTAAAAATACTGCATCCTTTATTTCTAATTTGATCCTTTACAAAGACCTTGATATTAAGACAATAGAAGAAGAAACTGTAGTTTTCTAGAAACAATTCTATACCAGATTAGAAAACCACGAAAATCCATTGATTAAAGGCGGCTTACATAAACCGTCCATTCCAGGGAATCCTCGTGTCGCAGACTTAACAAAAAATAGTGTAGAGATATTTTAACTTAATCATCTTGAAGGAAAATCCCTGTTAAGTGTCATTAAGTGTCACTATAATTTGTCTTCTTGTATTACCTAAAATGACTGCCATCTCCGTAGGCTAATATTGACTAATTCTCAACCACCTCCACCCGGTGTGTGTGATATATTTTTTTTACAATTTTATCCAGACTTAACTTAAATATAGTCGGGACGAGGCGTCACCTTGGCGTAATCTTGAGTTGACTTTGAAATCCGATGATAACTCTCCAAGAAATTTCTCTTTAAATACTGTTTTAATATTGCATAGTTTTATCATATCAACGTATTTACTTGCTATCCCAAAAGTAATCATTACTTTCCATAGCTCTTCCCTTTTTATACTATCCTATGCCTATTTGTAATCAACGAATACCATATAAAGGTTTTGCCAAATTCATGATATCTTTAGATTACTTGTTTTAGTGTGAAAATTTGGTTTTTAGTTGATCTTTTCTTCCTGAAGTCACATTGGTATTGCCTTATTATAACTTCTGCATGAGGAGTTTTTAAATAAAGACTTGATAATACTTTGCAGCATGCACCTGACAAGGAGATTTCTCGGTAACTGTTTAGTTTAAGTATATCCTCATTTTTTAATACTGAGAAAAATATAACCATTTTTCTCTAGAAGTCTTTAGTTGTTAAACAAAAATGTTTGAAATTAAACTCGAGTTTCATAATATATTATATTTGGTATTAAAAAAAATAGTGTACAGGTAAATTAAAAATTAATTTTTATAAGCATTTTAATTTAAAATTTTAATTACGATAATACAAATTACAGCATTTAAAAACATGTTAACCCGAACTTTACTCAGAATTTTCCGATTCGATCTTCCCAACTTTCCACCTAATATTACTAACCCATTAGCAGTTTATTTGAGAAAATTATAATTTTATTAAATGTATAATATATTGATATTATTTCAATAATTAATTTACTTCAATAACTATTCATTTAATTCATTTTTTTTAAGGATTCTTTTTCGAAAAGTTCATATTCGGATGAGAATTATTATTTTGTTAAACACATTTTTTAAATAAAAATTTAAATATTTTTTATTCACACGCATTGAAAATATTGTTTCTTTTTCAGGTTATTCTATCAAAAATGAGTTGAATAATGGAAAACTTTATAAACAAATTAAACATACAAATTTTTTGGAAGAAATTGTTTTTTGGTCTTTAAAATATGAGTTTTCACAACAAATGGTATTCTTGTTATTATACATGTTACCTGATGCAAACTTTAAGAAAGCATTGATAGAAGCATTTTGTAAACAATATAGTATAATAACACATTTGATGGAAACAGCCAAAAATCATGAAACTATTTCTAAAAATCTTGTTTATATAAGTAGTCAATTATTTGGTAATGAAGATTTAGCTTTACTCGTGGTAAACCAACAGGATATGCTTAGAGTAACTCTATCAAATTTAAGGAGCATGATGAAAAAAATATTGGTGCCCTCCACTCTTCACAGTAATAAAATTAATTTTTGTATCATTTTTAATATAGCATCATACAAGAAAAAAAAAATGCATACCTTCTTAATTTCTTTTATAGATTGGATAAATAATACACATTATGTTGTAGAATGGTCAGACAATGTTTTAAGAGAACACCGTTTTTGGCCATTGACCAATGATCTAAATTTAATGTTGAACTGTGAGAAGATTGCAATTAAGTTCATACATGATGACCATTTATTAAATTTATGGTTTTCTTATTTGTCTAGGTTTCAAGGTATTGCGTTTTTATTATGGCTTTAATTTAATGAAATAGTTTTTGCTCATGATTTTTATTAATATCATATCCTATTATAAAGTTTAAATTAGCTACATTAACTAATTACTTTATATTGTGTTGTATAGGCATGAATGTAAATGTTAAAGAGCTGAATGATCATGTTGAATACGAACGAACCAAATTTAATGCTTTTAGTATTGAATTTAAAGTCTGTTTTTATACTTTGCGTGTAATGCTATTACATTTCACATCTACTAATACTCTGCCTCATGCATACATTGTTTTAAGGGCAAGTTTCAACAACTTGCGTCAATGGTTGATGAACATAGGTTGCATTCTTAACTATAGAGTTAATCGATCTAGTGTTGACAGTTCTTTTAATGTGAACTATATTGAAGAACACAATACATTTTCTTTTCATTTGCCTATGCATAGATTTTTGGCTGGATTTTTAAGCCATACAGTGCGTAGTCAAGGTATCTGCATTAAATCAATTATACCATATAGCAGTGCAGCTGATTCAATTGATAGAGATGCGTTATTGTTAGCAATTTCTTCTCATCCTCTTCATATCCAAGCAGTATTCTATGAAATTATGCAGAAATCATGGATTCGCAATGGCGGAAATATAAAACGCCAAGCTAAGGCATATTTCAATCCAGAATATAGTTCGTACATGGTAGACACTGATTTATATTTACTTCAACTGTGTCTTTCAGAATTGTCAGATGCCAATAAATTTATGTGTTTAACATTAGAAAAGTAATAGTTTTTTTTATTATTCTTTAAATACTACTATTTTATATTACATTTAAAAATATTAAAACAAATTTTTTTAATATTGTTATTACTATTTTTTGAATTGTTATAGGTTTAATGCATACAAATGGATGAATTTTATTAAATATAGATATTCAGGGAAAATGTATTCTCAGAAAGAAGATGTAGCACGTAATATCGGAAATGTGTTTGTATTTCTTACCACCTTAGTAGGTGTAAGAACAAATTTATGTATGTTTTAAATTTTTCTATACAAAATAAGTACATTTTAACTATTTAAATTAATACATGTAAATTATTTTACTAGGTTCTGATGAAATGTATAATTACTGCCAATTTAATTTGGAAATGATTACATTATTGTGTCTCTCAAAACGTACTCATAGTCAATTAATGGCATCTCTGCCTAAACGATATAGTAATTATATCCCTACTTCACCCTATACATCCTCTACACACCAGTTAAAAACTGTATTACAATCTGTAAGTTTTAAAGAGTTTATTTTGTAAGAGGTTTAAAATAAAATAGATTAGTGCAATGTATATCACTATTGAACTAATGTACCTGTGAAAGAAACATTCTTAATCATGTCATTTGTATCATGGATACATTATAATGATTGTTTGTAGAATTAAAATATATTTACATTTTTTTTCGATTCTATGTGGAGCGAAGCTTATAGTTTTATAAAGATATTTATTATTATTACTGTTTATTTTCTGTGGACAACTTTTCTACCAGAGAACTTGCTCCGATTTTAACATGTTGCACCATTTCTGAACGTAAATGAGTGTAGGAAAGTACTTAGGGAATTTTTTTGATTTTCTCAAGAGTTTTCTGGTCAAATGCAAAAGACCAAAAAAATATGAAGGATAAACAGGGAAATGTACGAAATATATAGTGTGTCCCACCATGTTAGTCAGATTTTTCTAGAGCTATTAATATTAAATATTTTTAAAATTTTTGTTTTAAATCGGCTTGTCTTTGAGGGGGAAATCGTTTTGGAAAAAAATTTAATTTTTATTTTCAATCCCTAAAAATATGAAAACAAACATATTTTATTTATTCATTTAACTACATTTTCAAAATAACCATTTTGTAATAGATATGATAGATCAAAATCGCCGCATGGTAGTCAGTAATTTCTATCGCAATAGTAGTTTATTGAATATTAATTGTTTTTATACTTTTTTTTAGAAATTAAAATGGCTATTACTAAGGAAATATTCATTGGATATGAATGTGTAATATATTAAAATATTTAGAATAATATCTATGTTTATTTTGAAATTTTAGTTAAGTGAATAAATACATTTTTCTTTTTGTATTTAAGGCATGAAAATAAAAATTTAATTTTTTCCAAATTGATTTCCCCTCAAAAACAAACCAATTAAAATAAAATTTTTTAAATATTTATTATTAATAGCTCTAGAATAATCATTGATGGAAAATGTCACACAAGTTTTTACAAATATTTTAAATTGAATTGTAACAAATAACAAAATTGAAAAATAATAAAAGCATTATTTTCATGAATTTCCCGTTTTTCATACGTTTTATCCTGGTTTCTTGAGATATTATAAATACCGCATGAAAAATTAAAAAATGACCTTTCAAAAATATCATCTGGAGAACATTCCATTTCAGAAATGGTGCTGTGCATAAATATCTGAGCAAAATTTCTGGTAGAATTTTTGCACACAGTATCAAAAAATAAAAAAATAAACATCTTAGTAAAACCAACACATTATTCGCTACACTCAGAATCTAAACCGGTAGCTCAGAGTAGCCATATGCAACATAAACCATAAATTATTTTTGGAGGCTTGTAGTCCAAAATTAACCCATATATAGAGACCCATGACAAGGGGCGTAAATGCTTTCCCTGCCACTTTCCAAATGTTGTCATAATGTATGGGTTGTTTGTATGTATTGTAATGTATGGGTGTAATTTTGTTCCAATTTAAAATGGTAACACTTTTTCTGAAAAAAAATCTTACTGGGAAGATACTTTAGAGATTTCATTTTTCGATTTTCCCAGGAATTTTTTAAATAAATGGGAAAATATGAGAAAATCGGGAAAAACGGGAAAATTTGTACAACATTAAACAAATATTATTAAAGAAAATGTCTAATTAATTATTTTACTATTATATGACATATATTTTATTAATAAATCATCACTATAAACTGAACTGCACTCAGAATCTTTTTTTTTTCGTTTGCAAAGAATTATTGTTGCTTATAGGTATACATTAAATTACTTATAACAGTGTCTGCACCCTACCTTATTTTTCCAAGACGTATTTTTTCAATTGTATTTAATTATTTTTTATTTTGTTGCACTAATTTAAATAGTTAGACATTGTAAAAAATATATATCATGAAAATAAGAAATTTTGATTCTATAGATCGCTGAATATAAGAAACCAAACATTGATATAATAGATAAGTTACACAAAGGACATTATGTGCCATTAGCACATACCTGGCAAAACTTATATGATCCAGTGCATGTTCTTTTAAGAGCTGGGAATAGGAGTAGTTTTCAAACGTCTATGGATCATTACACAGATTGGTATATTGTACATTTATTTTCTATTAATACATTTTATTACTATAGTTATTTAAGTACATTTTTACATGATAATACACATAAAATATATAAAACTATAGCCTGGAGACAAAACTTAATCTAATATATGCTGCTTACTAAGATATTTTCCCTATATTAATTATTTTATGTGTATATTATAAATTACTGGTGTAATATAATATTTAATTGCTATACTATTGTTTTGTGAATATTAATTGAAAACATTAAAAAACGTTTTAAAGTTTAGAATTTTACATAATATTTGTATTTTTCTTTTATTGTATAGTATGCAATCTATTGGAATATTGAAAAAAAATCAAACTCCATGGCCACCATACAGGACACCACATCAACAACATCCAGCATATAATGATCCTCGCAGAGTATTGTTATCTAGGTTGTTTCATACTGTTACCTGGCATTGTCTATACCAATTATTGGTTTATGAATTTATTGATGAACATGTATTAAGTTTAGTGATTCATTTAATAGACCAGGCATGGATATATTATTACTCTTCTACTGTTAATGACATCAAATCTAGGGATTGTTCCCTCAACACTGAAGATAATATATATAAAAAAAAACAAATTAAAATACCATCAATAGATGACAAAATTCAAGATTGGAAACTTCTGATTGATTATTGGTTTGATGATGATGATTTGGTGAAAAATCTATGCACAACCATAACTACTGATGAGTCAGGAACAAGTTCATCTATCCCTGATGGCTTAAAAATTGGTGAGAAATATTTAATTAAGAGTTATTATATAACATTAAAATTAATTTAATGGTTAAAGATTTTTCTTTAAAAAGATTGTGTAATTTTGATTACATAATAACTTTCGAGTATAAATTACTTGACTATTTAGGTATATCAATGTAGAGGTTTTATTATAAAATAATACACTTACTACAGATGATGGTTAGACTATGAATAATAGGTTTAATAATTTAATTATACTAATACACACAAAATGTGAATAAAACGAAGACATAATCTGGACAATTTTTAAAATAAGAGCTGATTATGCTGATGAAAATTTCCCCTCCACCTTCTCAACTTCACACCTACAACAGTGGCTTACCCTCGTGCGAAGTTTATCCGTCGTTTTTTTTTTTTGCTGGTGATGCCAATATTTTTGAGACAATTCAATTTATAGAACAGTGGTTCCAAAACTGTGAGACAATTCTCCTTTGGGAGATGCAAGTATTTAACAGGGGAGTTTTAATATTTTTAGATCAACAATTATTTCATTGAAACGCGATTTTGTGATCATATTCTGCAATTTTATGATAGAGTGGATGCTTTTATTAAAAAAAATCGACTTGTGCAATTTAAATGACTAAACCACCTGTTTTCTACTTTTAAAATATTTTCTTTAATAACAAACGGTTCAGTAGTAATAATTTTCTGAAAACACTTAAAAGAAATTTCTTGAAATAGTTTTTAGAAGAAATCAAATAATACTATTGGGTTAAAAACCAATCTACTGAAAATCCATTATCAAATGTTACAACCACAGTGGAAGAATAAATTATCAATCGACAATTCATTTAATTTTTTGTTACGAATAAAATGTTTTTCAGTTATTTTTAGGATTTTGAAATAACATTAAAGATGAATAAGTGCCCTGAAGTTACCAAAAAAGTTTTGCGTGTAATTTTCCATTTATTATAAAAACTCCTAGGAAAATCAAAAAATTACATTCCTAAAGTACCACGCTAATCCGATTTCCTTTCAGAAAAAGTGCTATACTTGAAGATAGGAGCGAAATTTCTAGTAGAAAAGTTGTTCAAAAAAAAATAAAATAAAATATATCATTATAAAACCAATACATTTTTTCCCTCTGCTCAGAATCTAAAATATCAATGACTAGGAGATAAACCGTGTGAGTACCAAACAAGGTACTCATGGCAGTTAACTTGTCAAACAGAAAACGCTTGTTCGTATTAAGATTAAATAATAATAGTCATTATTTTTTCTTCGTACAAATAAAAATATTTTGTAATATTTTAAATTTAAATTAAATAATATGTTTAATTGATTTATTTCATCACATAAAAATAAACAATTTTGAATATTAAAATAAAACAAATTTTGCAATTAATTTATTCTTGAGAGGCGCGATTATTGATTTTTACTTTTAGGGATGCGAGAACCAAAAATGTTTGGGAACCACTGTTATAAAAGATAATTTACAATAACAAAAAGATTTAAATACGTTGAATGTATGATGCATTATACATTTTCTCCCTTTAAGTATTAACAAATGCCAAGTAATTAAATTCTTAAAATAACGCACATCAATTACTGAAAAATGTATGTATAACAATAGTCATAATTAAGTAAAGATTTAGCCATTTAGGTGTATTGTTTCATTACAAATTATTACTTAACTCCCACCTATTTATAATTAAAAAATACGAACATATTTCACATGTGGGTGTAGCTAGTGTTCTAGATGAGAAGTTAGAAAGGTATTAGAAAGAAAATCTAATGTATATCTGTGAGCAATGATAAATCATTGCTAACGATAAAGGATTCTAACGGAGATCAGTTGATATTAATGCTCTGTCAACAATATATATGTCGTATTATGATAAAATAATTAAATATTCTACATATCATCTTTAATAGTATTTGTTAAATGTATCGATTTTTTACCCGTTTTTTCAACGTTTTTCTCGGTTTTTCACATTTGCTGGAAAAAGTTTTGAGAAAATCCAAAAATGGCCTCTCTAAAAGACCTCTTCAATCAAATTTCCTTTTAGAAACATTACTATCATTATAAATTGAAGCAAGACCTCTGGTACAAAAGTTGTCCACAGAAAAAAAATAAACATCCTTGTAAAACAATAAGCTTCTTCGTTCCACTCAAAATTTAAAATAAATGCAAAATATATTTTCGAAACTCGGGTTTGAACTCAAGATTCCTAGAATGACAATAGGTAAAACATTAAATCTTTTAAATATTCTTTAAAGGAATATATGGAGTCATTTATCATAACATATAATATTAGAACTTCAAGAAGCTATAATTTCGAAACTTTGTCAGTTGGCTCAATTCTGACTTCACCGTCGTTCTTAAATCAGCAATATACACATGTTCAAAACAAAAAAAAAATTGGAAAATTTATGTGAAAAATTTGTTCTACATAATTTTTTACTCATATGTTTTTCGTCAAAATTTATTATTAGAATTCCTTTATAAAAAAAATACACAACTCAGATTATTTTTGACCACAAAGTAAAAATTTTAATGAACCACCTATTTAATTTTCAAGTATTTCTGTTAAGGCTAACAATTTTACTACAAAGTACCTACCAAATAAAAATTACGTACAAAACTCGTAAAATTAAAATATTTAACGTTACTTACAGATATACATTAAATTACCTATAACAGTGGCTGCACTCACCTCCATTATCCTAGGACGTCTTTTTTTACTTCAACTTCATTATATTATTATTCCATAGTTTATAAATTATTTTATAATTGTATAATACATAATTATTTATTATTTATTTATTCAAATATTATTATTATTCATTTCAAATATAGTGGAATATTTCTTTTTTTCGATAAAAATTTAACAAATCAGTTAAATTTAATGATAATAAACAGTAAGTAGGTAAATACAGTGGAATCCGCTTAATGTGGCCACCGGTTAATGCGGTAGCCGCCTCATTTGGGCATAATAGTCTGGTCCTGATTTTAATGTATAACGATACTCATTTCAGTTAAAATAAGCAACCCCTTAATGTGGGTAAATGTAACTGGCCCCAACGTGCTCACATTAAGTGTAATTTACTGTATATAGTTAAATTTATTTTTTTTTTTTCGTAGAAGAAAATCACACGAAAAACGAACATTCATCTTTACCCATTAATGAGAGTATCATTTCATTGCTGTTGAGAATACACTCGAACTTATCTAATAAACCAGATTCTTATCAGCCACCTTCACCTACACAGACAACAGATTTAGGTTTAATTGGTAAAATGAAGTCTACTAATCAGTTCAGCACAGTTGCAAATGATCACCACGAAAAGGAAATAGAAACGTCACCATGTGGTGATGGAGTATATTATATAGGTCGTTTGTTAGACAAAATGACTATAGGGTCCACATTGTGTTATGAATGTGTATCACGTACCCGCCTAGAATTATGGCCAAGAACGATGATCGTGAATGAAACAACACAGAAAGAAGAAGATAATAAAAAACGTAAACGAAAGTTGGCTGTCATGGAAGAAATGGCAAAATGTCAACAAGCATTCATAGAAAGCACACATAATTTAGGCGATTTAGATTCTTCAGATATACATTTACAACCTAATATTTATAACAATGAAAATGTGCAATGTGACAAACTTGCAGCTACTGAGACCTTTTCAATAAATAATGCAACTACCATTAACATTGATCATAACAGCTTGTCTGTGGATTGTGCTATTTGTAAGAAGTCCATGGTTAAAGAGATGAAACCTAATTTTCAGTATACAGATGCAGTAGGACTAGTAATATTTGTTCAAGTATGTTATTCAATTATTATTACGATAATAAGGGTTTTAAATTTAAATGATTTTGATTTTATACTAATAATATTATTTTAACTTTTATATTTTAGGGTACAAACATATTGGCTCATAGGCGTCATTTACTAACCCAACCAAAAACAACTAATACAAGTTATAAAAACAATGACATAGATTCCCATAATACAGAAGATAAACAAAACTATTGGCCCACTTTGTCATTGTTGCAACAATACAATGAAACCTCTTATGCATCTCATTATGAACGCCGCAGTGATTTGATAACACAATACTATAATGTAAGTTTTTTTTTCTTTTAATATTATTGACTATTGTATAATTAACCTTTAATTAAAAATTAAAAAGCAATAGTTTTTCCGTATTTGATTGCGTAGGGTAAAAGTTGTACATACTGTTCATAAAGCCCCTGTCAAGTATAGGTACATGATCAATAGTAAGAATATTATTACTATCGTACTATTATGTGTTCTACAGAATTGCCTAAAAACATAATACTGTTGGTTATAAATACTATTTGTTTATAATCATTGATAATATTATATAAATTATATAAATTCTAATTTCGATATAATTCAAAAAAAGTGCGTTTATTATTTCATAATAAATGTAGATTGCAAATACCAGGGACACTAAATTTCATAAACCCGGCCTCTACAATATTATGAGTGAATCGGATGGGCAACAGAGTTTGAACTGGAGACTATAGTCTGTTTTCTTATCTACAATTATAATAGCAATTAACCTATACAAAATATCATAATATAGATTATAAGTCAAACACACGATATAATTTGTAATTTAAATAGAATTAAGATTTCGATATGAATCCTTATTTATAATAGATTATTATATATAGGTATAACACGGGAACGGGTAAAACAGTCGAAAATGTTGTATAAAAAAAAAGTTTTCTTGTAAAATACCTGTTTTGTTTGTGCTATTTTGCTCTTTATAACTTTATAATTTCCCCTCCAAAAATCTATCGCGACCCACATAGTCTCACTTTTCAAAAAGTAGTTTATGCAAGCAGCAGGGAAAATCTTAAATTTACCTCCTTAGAGTACCACTCCAGTCATATTTCCTTTCAGAATTATGTTTTTAGAATTCTAAAAACATACACTTTTTGGAATCTATATAGGCAATTCAAAACATTTTTCGCGACCTACCATAAATTGATTCGGGAATCACCAGTGGGTCGCGACCCACAGATTGAGAAACGCTGGTATACAGTGATTGTAATGATATTTATTGTACCTAGATTTAGGACCTTTACTATAGTACATTAAATTATCATAGGTGCAAATTATTTTGACACTATATGCCAAAAATAACATTTTTTACTAACTTCCTATAAATTATAAAAATACTATATAAAAACATTTTTTTTTTTTAAGTTCCTAAATCTTAATTTATTAAATACTTTTTAGTTTTTAACTCTACTTTGAGTTTTCAATTTTCAAACAACAATTTTAATTTTCCAATAATTCAATTGAATGAATAATAGGTACTGATATTAAAATGTCTATGAATTATTGTATGTATTATTCAAAATAAATTTCATTAATATTAGGTTACCAATATTAATTATTATATACTATTATTGTAATTATTCTGTTAAAAGAATTTGAATGAAAATGATTTGAAAATTGGAGCTGTTACTACTACAACTAATGACTCTGCACAGGAAATTAGTGGAAATGTCCACATACAGACATGTGGGCATTATCTTCACTGCAAGTGTTTAGATAAGTACTTAAAAAACTTGTCTCAAAATCAATCTACCAGGTATATAGTAGAAGTAATTTGAGTAATAGCTATTTATCATATTACTCATGGTACCATAATAATTTGAGTATAATTATAGTTTTTAATTAAATCTACATTTTATTGTAGATTGGGATATGCCTGCCCAGTGTGTTGGCAGATTTCAAATTCTGTTTTGCCACTAATGTCATCAATTAAACCACATTGTGATATTTCGACTTCTAGTACGTCAACTCTATTGACAGATGTTATAAGTAAATTAACTGAACTAATAGAACAGGATGATATTCGTGGAAACAGTCATAGGGTTAGTATTTACAACAATGCTATATATTATGTACTTTTTTATCATTAATTTTTTTGCTTTTTATAGCATCATATAGATATTAATGAAAATAATTGTTTATTGGACTATGCTAATAAATGTGTAAATCATATGATTGACATTTCACAAAGATTGCATATCGTTGTTCCTGATACTACAGTATTAGTTCAGCAGCCATTAACAATGGCTAGTAAAAGAGCAAAACACTTTAATGAAAAATGGCAAAGCATTATGTCTGTGGCATGGACAAATATTCAAATGGAAGTAGTTGTTGAAGATAAAAACAAACTGTCCAAAAAAACTTGCATAGGTATGTATTTTTTGTGTACACATAATCAAAATATTTTTATAAGTATTAATCTAACACAAATTTATATATAATAAATTAATTAGTATCATTCATTAAAGTAAAGTTTAATTTAATATTCATAATCATAACCATCTTGGTATTCTATATCTTATATGATATTACAGAAAAAAATATATTAGATAACTTGAAAAATTCTTATGAGTAAATAAAATGTGATAATAATGATGAGATTATAAATATACATTTATGCAGTCAAGTTTTCAATGAAATATCTGTTTTTTTTTAAAAATTACTTGTAATTAAACACATTAAAATGTTACATTGTTCTTATTTTTGAAAGTGAAACCATTAGGTACTCATCGATTTTCAAGTAACAACATGTACCTACTAAAAATTTCATGCATTCACAGATTATTAATTGTGTATATTTTAGTTTTGATATTTTTGATTTCTATCAACCCATTGAGAAGATATTTCACTTTTAAGTTTGGGTGGGGAGAAAAGTGTAACATTTTAAAACACTTAGTCATATTATTCTGAGTGAATTAAAGGATCTATTAGTGTTATTATGTATGTTTTGATTTTACAATGGTGTTTATTTTAGATTATAAGTGAAGTGAAGAAGCTTATAGTTTTACAATGATATGTATTATTATTATTTCTATTTATGAATAATTTTCTACCAGAAATATTGCTTTAATCCAAAAATGACAAATTTTGTTCCTTTTAATATTTTACCACTAACAATGGTATAGCAGCTATGACTGTACAACAATTTCATTATTTGTAATTTTTACGTCTTGTTTACCACAAAAATATATTACTCTATCAGAAAAATGATAAGAGATACTTTTGTTAAATTTTTAATCAAATTGGTGACCAAGAAATTAGTTTTTTGATTTTTTTTTTTTTTTTAATTTAAAATAATAAAAGCATTATTTATGTAAATTTTACTGTTTTTATTGTGTTTTATCCCGGGTTGATGGATGAGTGTATTTTTGGATTTGAACTCACCTATATATCTCGTTTTATTCATACATTTTGTTAGTATCAAGGATGTGATTTATGAGAGTTATAACTTTCAATCCATCCTTATCATTTGTTTACTCAAATTTCACCATTTTTTTCGTTAGTTGTATAATGGTGTCTCCATTACTCCATTGGAGGACGCATGGCCCATTCAGCTCTCAAGCTGCTATTGAATTTAAATCTAGCTGCAGATTCTCTTTGCAACATTGGAAAAAACATCAGGAATGGCAACTCATTAAAAACATGCCAAATAATTATTTTGGATAAATATATGGACCATGGTCCATTAAAAAGGACTTGAGATACTTGATCATACTCTGAAAGATTTTCGAGGCGATTAATGTCGAAGGGATAGAGCTTTAATATTGTTCTCCGATGATTTCTGGCAAACTTTGCCAATCATTCCAAGATCAACACCAGCAGGCTAGCTGAATGCAAATTTGAAGAATTTAGCCCTCTGAAGCCATGTTAAGAAAATTAAATGTTGACCATTATGCATGTGCATTTACTTGAGGATATTTCAGCACAAATATGTTTAAAGCAAATTTGAATATGGAATAATAAAAAACTACTGGTTGATCCTGAGTCACAGGAGATATCGCTTCCACTGAACTTCTGTAAACTTCAAGTATCAATTGAAGATCTGGAAAAGAGAGTTTTCTCGAACATTGTCAATAATTTCAGGAATTACGAGTGACTATGTGACCAAGCTATTCTAGCTCAAAAAAATAATTTGATTCAATTAAAAATTCCTGGTTTGGTTATGAAATACAAATCCATTGAAATAGTTATAGAAGAGAATCAAGCTGTTAATTATTCAATAAAATTCCTCTATTCATTGGCGCTTGCTAGAATGCCACCCCATTATCTCCAATGAATGTCAGATCGGTAATCATAAATCATCAAATATCAACCTACCACGTCTTTGTAAGGGTACTGGGCTTGTGGTGAAGAATCTGATGAACCACGTCATTGAAGTAACAATTCTTAAAGGAAATGATGTTTTGATACCACACATCCTGATTATTCCGATATACATGCTGTTCAACTTAAACAATTGTAATTTCCAGACATAATGACATGAAATTCTAACTTCAATTGTAACTTAGATTATTTATATTGATTAACGGTTAAATGACAAATTAGTACACTTTTACTTTTTAATCTTCCGAAGGTGGACTACAAACTTTCTATTTATTATTATTTATTTTTTTAATGGCAACATAAGCAGGAATACAATACATAATGATTTAGCAACATCAATATTCAGTAATAGCAAAACATTGCTGGATCGACAGATTTATTATAGTATTAGACTTTTTGGTTTCTGCGGTGTTTTTTATGTTATGCAAAAATACTACTCTGATACTTTGAATAACATTGAACTTTGTTTTTGTATTGTTTTTAATGATACAGTATCAGATATGCTTCTGTAATTATTTTATTTTATTTGTTGCAGGGCCGTTATTAAAAGTCTTGCATTTAAGTGCACAGTCATTGTTAGCAGAATACTCAAAATCAGAAAGAAATCCACTGTATGATATTTGGTACAAATTAATTGGAAGTGAACTGGCTCAAGAGTTTCATCCACCATTATTAATGCGTGATCCATGTATCATACTTTTACAGCTTGTGTTTTTATTTCCTACTTTACAGCCTGGTTAGTATAAAATATAATTTATTATGATATATACTTTTTTTTCTGTCGAGAAGATTTAAAAGACTATCAATAACCTAGGGGATTTCTGGTAGTATTTTTGGTCTAGTTGTTACATCCAGGATAGTCATTAGTTAAGTTTTTGAAATTCCTTGTATATTTTTATAATATATGTAAAATAGGATGAAAAAATACGTTCTATGGTAATGGGGACGAGTGCAACACGATAAACCATTGCTAACAAAAAAACGATTCTGAGTAGAGTTCAGTTGATAGTAATGCTTTGTCAACAACATATATGTCATATTATGGTAAAATAATTCATTCGGCATTATATATTTTCTTTAATAATATTTGTTTAATGTACCAATTTTCCCTTTTTTCCAGTTTATCTTCCCTTTTCTCCTGGTTTTTCACATTTGTTGAGAAAACTTCTGGGAAAATCGAAAAATAACCAGTTAATAAAGTACCTTCTTACACTGATTTCCTTTCAGAAAAAGTGCTAAACTTAAAAATGATCTCTGGTATAAAAGTTGTCCACAGAAAATAAAAAATATACATTTTTGTAAAACCATAAGCTTCTTCACTCAGAATCTAAAAATGGAATGTTTTGTGTTATTGTTTTAGGTAAAGGATATAGTATTTAGTTATAATATATTTGAAATCGTTTAGACAGACCGATCAACGAAATTTTAAAACCCGTTATTTTAATTTTAATTTCTATATGGCGATTAAAATTTAGCCACTAAGCACACATATATGGAGATAGTGTTCTCAATGATTTACACTTGAATTTTGGATTTGTTTACATTACTTTTCTCATGAAAAGTTTGCTTACTAAATATTTATAATGGGTTATAATCAGGGTTCATAACTTGAAGCTCTAAAGAAAATTATTATACAAGCAATTATGTGCTCTTAATTACATTAATATAAGTGCTTAAATATTCACTATAAATTTTAAAATATGCTAAAAAATTCTATTAAATAGAATGAGGCGTTCTAAACAAGACTGGTGAATTTTACCATTTTGGATGTATGTGGAGACAATAAGTGACAGGGAGTACCATGGTACATAATAGTTGCAGGTGATATAACTTTTATAGGAGAAAAAAGTTGGCAATAAGCTTGATATATGAAGTGTATCATCTGTAAGAAAGAGACTAAGGATAAGTAGAAGTAAAACGACTATATACATTATGAGTTTGGAGTAACAGAACAAGACACCTGCAGACAATATGTGGGGACCTTTTTTTTAAGTACCTCAAATGTTTTATGTGACAACGAAATTCTAATGAGACTTAAAGGTACTATGTTTTATTGTTCAATATATTGGCCAGAAAAAAATAGAACAGATAATAAGTGTAGCAGTGTTGAGAATATTTAAGTGGATGAGTGGAGTGAAGAGAGAAGGTATGATTAAGAGTACATAAAAGGTATCTTAGGCGTGGTTTCGATAGTATACAAAATGAGAGAAAACATATTGAACATGGTTTAAGGATGTTATGTGAAGAAAGAAATCAGAAGGGAGGGCCATAGAATCCTGGAATATTATAATCCGGACTGTAATTTTTGGAACGGAATACTCCGGACTGCATGAAAAATTAAATTCCTAATTAATTCCTCTTAAGGTAACATAAAAATAATATTGTATTGGAATAAGGAAATAATTGCATTGCATGTATCAACAATTTTTTGAAATCTGTATTATAATTTGTATGTTTTCAAAGTTGTAAACATTCTATTTTTATTTTGAATACATAATACCAAAACTGATTTCAACTAAATAATACTCCATTGTCATTTGAAAATAAAAAGTAGATAGTGGTTTTATCCGCAAAATTAATGGTGAAAAAAAATAACATAAATGTAAAATTGTAGAGCTGCTCGTTTCTTAAATGTTTTATAAAATAAATTCTTAAAAAGTTGATACTTTCCGAGATAATGAATGTACCTACTTAAATGTTAACTTAAATGATTACCTTGTAAGTATATTTTGTTAATAATTTAAAAAATTATAATATAATATATTAAATATTATGTTTACAATCATTTATTAATTTTTCTTTTTCATTATAATATACCTACTAAATAGGTACAGCCAAATTTAATAATGTATAATTTTTTTCTATCAATAAACTAATAAAGTAATAACTACAGTAGTGGTTATTAACTTAAAAATAAGTGATTTGATTAATATAGTCTATTGTCTTAAATGTTAATATTTCCAATAAGTATTTTTTTTTTAAATTGTTTTTTATGTGATTTTAACCAGGTTTTTAAAAACCAGAAAAAGTAAAAACAATATTTTTATTTTTATATAATGGTTTTTAGTTTAAACATGCATAATAATATGGAAATAACGGGACTAAAAAGGGTCTATCTTCTAGAAATGGGACAAAAGGCGTTCCATTCAAAGTTCGTCGGGACATTGGGACATGATAATCAAATAAGGACAAACTCGTTTTAAACGGGACGTATGATCACCCTACCCGTTTATTAAAATTCGGTCCATAAAAAATAAAATAAAAATGAAATCCACAATGCACCAACTAGATCCAAAATTAAAAAAAACAAATATATAAATGTCTCTATAACACGGTTCGTCACTTTACTGAATATATATATATTTTTTTTTTTACTTATATAGAGCAGTTTGATTCCTTGGTTAAACTTGCGTACAATATGCAAATTTACACGACTGCATTGAAAGTAGCCACTGAAATTGAGTGCCACGACTACAATAACAAAACGGGTATGTACAAATACAGCAACAGTGATATTTCAGCTCTTTTATCGTCGATAAACATGACTCAATTTAAAAAGGCTTCATTAACGTCACAACCGACACAGTCTTTCTTTTCAAATGCCGTAGTTTTGGCAATAAATGTAATGTTTTCGTCTCAAACTGACCATGTTCTTAGAGACGATAGAATTATGAATGACAATGACGAAATTTTCACGAGTGACGAAAATGAAAATATGTTAGAATCGTATGCGAGACAATCATCTTTGCCATTTTTGAGATTTGCCGCAATATTAAAAAAATATACGTATGGAAATGATTATCTAGAAGAGTGCAACGTTGATTCGATAACACAATCGTCGTCGACACTGAGCAACAAAACGCAGCAATCTAAACTTTGCAAGCGTAGAAAAGTTAATATCAACAATTCCACCGATATTATTAAACCATGTCATTCTCAAAATCAGCAGCTCTGTCGTGACCACTGGTCACAAGACGATTACGAGTTCCAAACCCTCGCCCAATACTTAAAATTACTCAATGACAAACATAATAATTTACCTTGTGCTGAAAACAATATCGGTGTTAGCCAAGCCGACGGTAATATTGTCCAATGCAGTACATTGGTTACATCGTTCAAGCCTCCGTCTGTAATGAAAGCGGTTTTTTGGCCAAAATCATCGAATATCATCGATACGGAATATAATTTTACGACGACCATTCCCCGCGCTTGGTTGATATCTTTCCGTGAATCATTAGCGATTAAAATAGGTAAACGTTCGAAGATCACCAATCTGGTCGATATCCCAATGGCTACACGACTTTTACTTGGCATGGATTGTTGCGGCGGTGGTGGTGGTCCTATCAAAGAAACCAGCAATGGTAACAATGGACGTTACGATTTTTCATCGTTCATCAATTGGACGGGGCCTCGATTATTAGGACTACCAAATCTATACAGCGACGTGTTCTATTCCTATTATAACCGGCCCTGTATAAAGTGCAGTTCTGTGCCCAGACAACCCGCCATATGCCTAGTTTGCGGAACCATTGTATGCTCGCGGTCAATTTGTTGTATTGAAAATAAACCTTTATGCGAAGGAGTACAAGTATGTATACATTGCAGTAACAACCTAAATTATTCAACATAGATACATTTTTTTACAAAATATTAACGTTTAACTCGCAATTAAAAAATATAATATAAAGTTTTTTTCTATCTAAGAAAATTTGACCATGCCATTCAATTTTTTTTTTAATATAAATAAATTAAAACCTGGAGTTAGTTTTAAACAAAACTTTGAGGATAAGTCAATATTTTTTTTATTTATATTTAAAAATAAATAAATATTAACTACAATTTTTACATGCAGCATAAACAAAATCTTAGGAGTATATATATATATATATATATAATTAAAATTCTGTCTGTTTATCTGTTCGCTATACAAATATCTAGTTTTACTTGATGAAATACATACTGAATGGTACTTATTTGATCAATATATACTTTTTATCTTGAAATTTATATGGTGGCTTACATCCATAAATTCACCAATTCAACCGTGGGGAATGGCCGACGTCCGCCGCGAGTGACGCGCAGCGGGAAGAAGAAATGTAGCGCGAAACCCGCCACAGTATCATTGATATTATTTATTCTAGAAAACGCACGGCCCGAACATACATGATTATAAAAACACTACAATATTACTATACACGATACGGTGTAGTGTGAACCCTCCATTATGTTTTCCGTTTGATAACACCAATGGGTATATGCAATAACCTGGTATATTTCAATCTTTTAAGTACCCTTTTCAAAAGATAAATAAACTACTTTGCAACAACAATTAACAATGATAGAGATAAGAGTGGAAACAAATATCCACGTTAACCAATGTAAATTATGAATAAAACTGTTTTATCTACTTTCGATTAAATTATAGTTAAGAAGGACAAATTACCTTTTCAAAGATCTAGGTATTCCATTATTTTATATTAACAGTTAAGCCATGGCCGTTCATTAAATTTATACATAAATACACATTTACATATTAAATTATTGTACTACTAAATTTTTTGTGTTAGCACTCTCGGGGCTGCGGCAATGGAACTGGTATCTTTTTAGATATACGTACCTGTTCAGTGATAGTGATCCGGGATAAATATTATTGCTTTTGGGGATCTCTTTATCTGGATGAGCATGGCGAAGATGATTTCAATATTGAGTAAATATTAAATTTTTATTTAAATAAATTTAGTATGTATTTACTTATTTGCTTATTATTAAAAAACAGGCGCGGAATACCCCTACGTTTGAATACCAACCGGTACAAGCTATTAGAACGTCAGTGGCTGACTCACAGATTGGACTTTGTAAAAAGGCAATGGATGTTACACAATAATAAATTTTAACAACTACAAGGATAAGTTGGTGAAATACCAGTTACTTATACATCCAATAACAGTGAATGGTATTAATTCATTAACATATTTGTTGAATATCATTCATTAAAACTTATGGCTTTTATTTCAATTCTTTAAACATTTTAATAACTCATAATGAGCTACACCTATATTTTATATTTTATTTTATTGTATCTAATAGTTAAACTATACATATATACAATGTACATAAATACACAATAGAAATATAATATCAACTTTCTAGAGACTTTAAAGATTTATATTTCTGAGCACATTTGTATTGATAGTTTTTTTTTTTTTTTACATAAGAATAAAACATTATATATTTTACATCTATTTAACACATTAATAATTGATTAAAGATTTACTATTTAATGCAACCATGTATATTATGTTATCAGTACTAACAGAAGTTAAAATATCTTTTTTAACACTCATGAGTTTGAAACTTATTAAATTATTTCCAGTCATTGAGTTTCTCAAGTAATTTTTAACATATTTTAATTTGGAAAAACTACCTTCACAACCTATTCAAGTAACTGAAAATTATTAAAGTAGTTTATATCATAAATACAGAAGCCGATAAACATTAGTGTACAAATGTTAACTAAAATACTAAGACAACAAACAACACAACACTTTACAGGTCTGGTAGTATTATCACTATTATCTGCTTAATAAGTACACATTTCTTCTGGCATATTTTCTACACTAATAACAGAAAGTAAATTAATATCACACAAAGTGGTCACAGAAACCATTGATTTCTTGTAGGTAAAAGTGGTATATATAGTTACAGATTTCATATTATAAATGAATCATTGTTTGAAGACAATATTCTGAAATTATGAATACATACCAGTACCTACTATTATCTTATTCATCTGCACTTTCTTCAACACTTAGATTCTGAGTGGAGCAAGGAATGAATTGGTTTTACAATGTTCATCAATTGTGAAATTTACAATAATAGCACTGTTTCTGAAAGGAAATCTGAAATGGTACTTTAGACATGTAATTTTCTGATTTTCTCAATATATTGAAAAAACCATATAAAATAGGTACAATTTTAAACAAATGTTTAATGTATATGTAATATATGTGTATCATTTTACTATAATATAGCATATATATTGTTGACAAAGCAACATTATCAACTGAACTCCACTCAGAATCGTTTTTTCATTTGCAATAGTTTATAGTTGATTACAGATATGCATTAAATTCCTATTGTGAAATATAATTATTGTATGTGACATACAATAATAGTATAGTCAATTTTTGTTAATATGTTATGTATGAAAAAATTGTAAAAAAAAAAAAAAGACATCCTAGGATAATAGGGATGGGTGCAGCCACTCTTATAGATAATTTAATGTATATCTGTACCCAACGATTAACCAAACACAATGAAAAAAGGATTCTGAATGGAGTACCATAAAAAGTGTTGCTTTGTCAACAATGTATGTGTCACTATTGTAAAATAATAGCATAAATAAATTATATATTTTCTTCAATGATATTTGTTTAATATTGTAATTTTTTTCCGGTTTTTCACATTTATTGGGAAAATCAAAAAATTATCTACCTAATGTAACTTCCCAGTCAGATTTCCTTTCAGAAAAAGTGCTATTAATATAAATCTGAAAAAAATTGTTGGTAGAAAAGTTGTTCTTAGAAAAAAAAACCCATATTTTTTTAATAATATCTACAATTTGTAAATTTTCCGTCTTCCAAATTATTGGGAAAACTCTTACATACATATTATTGGTTATGGTATTTATTGATAACTCTTATCTTATCTATCCCTTTTTAATTTAATAAGTTTTAGTACTTTATACATTAACACTAACCAAATTGTTAAGTTCTAATATCAATACTTAAATTTACGTTACTACTCCTATACGTCTTTTGTATCCATCATATTCGTGATGGTTCGGGATATTTAATCCCATTCGATTGAGAATATCTGAAACTAGATGTTTGGTTCTCAAAACTCCATTCTTCTGAAAATGCTTTAAGTATGTTGTTTTTGCATTGCAGTTCATTATCAGTGTGTGAATTATATGTACCATCACTAGACTACAACAGACATTCTATGAAATAACAATATAGATAATGAAATAGTAAAGTAAAAACAAAATTATTAAAATTGTTAATATTCATTAGTAAATATATAAAAAATTATTTTTTTATATAAACATAAAATAAATAAATTAATGAATGTGTCAGGTGTATTATTGGTATATTATTGGTATTTGTATATTATTATTGTATGTCAGGTTTCGAATTAAAAATTCATCATTAGGTATATCATAATCAAAATATAAAACCCGACTGAATATATAAAATTAAATGAAGGAATATATATATAAAAAAAAAAAAAATTATACAAACTGGTTATTTTACACAGAAATAATTTATTTTAATAATAGAGATTATTAAAAATGGATTGGTATTAGACATATGTTAGAAACATATATTAGAAATATAAATCATTTGGTTATTATTTATTATCTAAAATGTATTGATATAATATATTTTAAAAATCGGTTTGAACATTTAAATATTATTAAAAATATTTTTTTTATTTCATTGTGTATGTGTAATTCTTCTAAAACTGAATTAATGTAAATATTATTTTGGGTGTTTAATATTTCTAAGTCTGTATTAATATTACAACTTATAATATGGTTATTTTCTAAAACATGTTTAGAGAAATTTAAATTAGGGGCAGTCTTTTTTAATTTTATTTCCGAAATATGTTCTTTATATTTATTTATAAAATCAAATTTATTGATTATTATGGAAACTGTAAGATCCAAAAATTAAATTTATTATTCGAGTGTAAATTTAATGTTTTTATTTATTTTGTTTAAGTAGTTAACTAAATTTTCTGCTTGCCTATTTGAAACCTTTAAATAAAATGAATGTGTCATCAACATATCTATAGTATGCTTTTATATATGAATGATATTGGTTTCATAATTTTGCATGTAAATTTCAGATAAAAAAGCACCATAACTATCCCATCTTTTTGCCAATATAATTTATTATTATATTGGAAATAGTTTTGATTAATTATTACATTTGATGATTGAATAATTTCTTGTACTAAATTTATTACAATGTATAAGGTTTTTTTTTAAACAACTTACCGTTTTGTGTGTAGGAATGGATGTATATGCATTTTTAATGTCAAGAGAAATCATTTTGTATCTTGGCAGAATATTAATTTTATCAATAAAATCAGGTGTTTTTTTTTATAGAAGTATCAGTATTCATATTTAATTTTTCTTTTATGAGAGTCTAAATATTTAGCAATGTTATAAGATGGAGCAGTTTTAAAGTTAATGGAAGAATCTGTTTATTTTGTTTGTGTATTTGTATTTGGATTATCTTGTTTGTATAATTCTACGAATGGATATAAGTTTGGACCCTCTATTTTGAAATCAGATTTTAATTTTTTTTTTTTGGCTTAAGGTTTGATTTCTTTTGAATTTGTATTCTTTCATTTAATTTTGCATTTTACATTTTGACTATGATATAACAATAATAATAATAGTAATATTTATTGGACACCAATTACATGATATATACAGACATACAATGAATAATAAGACTGGTTCTCTTTTAAAAAGCAAGCTTGTGCTGAAAAGAGAGAGTTTGTGATAGAAGTTGTCGTGATAGTAGAAAAACACCGATAGTATATATTAAATTACATGCTGTATTGGATATATGCATCTTAAAAAGCTAAACCATAGAAAAGTCTAAATTTAACCTAATATTAGCTTTAGACTTTGTCCTAGAGCTGGTACATATAATAAGATTTAAACTGTACACTATAATAGAGTTATTTGCATTTATAATTTAATAAAGGAAGAATCTTAATATAAAAATTAGTTATATATTTTTTATACATTATAAAACTATTAAAATTATAATACAAAATTAAATAAACTTAGATTTAGGACTTTGTTGCTCGAATACATTATTTATTTTAGGGACAATGATATTAGTATTGACCTTAAAGGGAGTGTTATAGATGTGACATTGAACATCAATGGATATTTCCATATTATAAAATAACAGAAATATTCTTTGTGTATAATGATTTTAAATTTAATATATCTAACTCTTTAAATAATTTAATTGTAGGATATAATGTAGGCTTATTAAAAATAAATTTGAGATATGAGTTTAAAGTAGTTTCAAGATTTTAATAGTAAGTATATGTGCCATAAAAAATACCATAGGAAATAATTGATTGTATTAGTGCAATATATGTCAATTTTTCTAATTTGAAGTTAAGTATAGATATACCTGATGATGAATTTTTAATTCGAAACTGGTTGTATAATACACTTATCATAACATTCAAGGCCAAGCATTCATTCATTAATTAATTTTATTTTTATACATACATTTATATATATATTTATTTACTATATTGAGAATATAGTTTTAGCATAATATAAATTCAAAAATCTATAATTTCGAAAATAAGACAATTTACTTAATTCTAACTTCATCATCATTCTAAAATTGGCAATATTCAGATTACCTACCTAAAACAGAAAAAAAAAATTAAAAAATAAGATTTGTTCCACATAATTTTTTACTCATAACTATTTTCGTCTTCATCAAAATTTAATAAGTACAAATTAAAATTTGTATAACAAATAAATACTACACATACTCATTTTTGTTTTACATCAAAGTACGACTTTTAATGAACCTGCTGTTAAATTTTCAAGCATTTCTGTTTCTAACAATTTTACCAAAGAGTAGAAACTGAATAAAAATTGCATACAAAAATCGCAAAATTAAAATGTCTATAAATAGCTTAACATTTTTGAAAACCTTACTGCGTCTAGAAAAGCCAATGTAAATTTTAAATCCAAATTTCAAGTCCATAAAGTCCATATGAATATTTTAAAATAAATTTCAACGAAAAATTAAAATTAATATAAAAAGCTTAAAAATGGCTCAAATGTTTTAAAAATTTGACCATGCTTAGAAAAGGAGAATTTCAAACCACATTTCAAGTCTACGAATATTTTAAACTAAATTACAACAAATAATAAAATTGAAAAAATTAAAAGTATTATTATTGTATATTTCTGGTTTTTCTTATGTTTTAACACGGTTTTTTCCAGATATTTTGAAAACAGCTTAAAAAATCAAAAATTATCCTTCTCAAGTACCATCTTGATATAGATAATATTTCCTTTCAAAAATGGTTTCGCACGTAAATATTAGAGCAAGATTTCTAGTAGAATTTTTGTACATAATATAAAAAGACATTCTACAATAATAGTGACGGGTGTAGCCACTGTTATAGGTAATTTAATTTAATTTAAGCAACGATAAACCAATGTTTACGAAAAAACGATTATGAGCGGAGTTCAGTTGATAGTGATGCTTTGTCAACTATATATATGTCATATTATATTAAAATAATTAAATAGACTTTATACATTGTTCTTTAATAATATTTGTGCAATTTTGTACCGATTTTCCCAGTTTTTCTTGATTTTCCCAGTTTTTCACATTTTCTGGGAAAACTCTTTCGAATATTGAAAAATGACCCTCCTAAACTACCTTCCCAGTGAAATTTTCTTTTAGAAAAATTGCTACCATTATAAGTTGGGGCGAAATTGCCGGTAGGGAAGTTGTCTACGGGAAAAAAAAAATCGTAATATTTTACGAATATTATATTTTGTTTTTTAACATTTTTTGAGAAAACTCCGGAGAAAATAGAAAAATTACCTGTATTAAGTACCTTCACACACCGATTTCCTTTCTGAAAAGACGTTACACTTAAAAATCGGAGCAAGTCTGCGGGTACAAAAAAAAAAAAAAAAAAAATAAACATAATAAAACCAACATATCCCTCGCTTCGTATAAAATCTTAAACAAGTTGATATGTTCAAAATAAAATGTTAACGGTTAACTATTAAGTAACTATCATTCTTTATAGGTAGTTTGCTGTAAACAGAAACAATATTCAAGGGTTCCTTTCAGAGTTATGACTACATTCTGGTGTCCAGCATTGAACCAAATTAAGAATAAGTATATCCTATTTTTTATATAATTTTTATTAAAATAAATAACCAAGGTGAAAACTAAAAATTTATTTAAAGTTATTTCTTTTGAGATGACATGTTTGAACTGTAAACCTAATGTGATAAGAAAAATTTAAGCGAAAAAGCATATCAAAACAACATTTATATGCAATATTGTTGCATGAATATAAATAAAAACATGAAAAAAAAAATAAATTTAAAAAAAATATAATTTCAAGTCAATGTATTTCTTATCAAATAAAGACTGAACCGTGATAAGGATTTGTTAACGTTGCCATTATCATAACTACGCAACGACGCTTCGTGACGTCATCGCTAGCATGGATAATACCGTTAACATCAGTGTTTACTGTTTATGTATTATGTTACAGGTAACCATGAACTAAATTTTCATCCGTTCATCGATCTGTCGATTTTTACCCTAGTGGCTAGTGTTACTGTTTGGTGTGTTAGTGTTTCTGTGTAGTGTTTTAGTGTGGTCGTCTTTTTGTATGAGAAGGTGTTGTATGCCACAGTGTTTGTGTAACGCATTAATGCAGTTCGATCGTCACTTCTAATAAAGTAAGTAAATACTAGTACTTACTTCGTTTATCTCAGCTGATTAAAATTTCAATGTCAGCAAATCGGTATTTTCGGTAAAGTTAACTTAAAACCGAAATGAATTTGTTGCTTTTTATTGTATCATCTGATAGTCATCCATTCAACCATATTGTTTACTAAAATTAATAAACCATAATAAACTGTTGAAATAGAAAATGACTTTCAGATTTTATGATCATCAATCCAAACGTTCATTAATTTAATAATTCATTGATTGAATAAGGTTTTTGGAATACATGGGTATCTATTTATTATCGTGTGTCTATATTTTTTTTTTATACTTCTATGCAAATTATTATGATAAAAGAATGTATTTTATTTGTATAAAATAACATTACTCAAACATGTTTTATATTTATCATGATTTATTATTTATGTAATCTCAAAATGATATTAATGGTGCCAACATATTCTATTGATCTTTGCTCTCATTGCATGATGAATGCTGTTCATTAAACCACTATAATTTTGAGCGAATTCTGTTGCTACTCGCTTATTGTAGCGAGTAGAACACTTACCCACAATTGAATTTGACTACTCAACTACTTTTGTTACAAATCTCTGGCCATTATACTGTGGAAAGTATAACTATATAACTCGGTTTCTAAATGATATTGATGGTGCTAACATATTCTATTAATTAGTTTTCTCATTGTTTGATCTTGCCATTCTATTTTTATTATTTTATTATAAATTAAAATATTTTAACATTTATTATTATTTATCTATTTGACATTATAAATGTTTTATTCAGTGTTTCTAATTTGGCATCAAATTTTAGATCCCCATACAGTTAGTTCTAGTTCATTAGATTGAAATAGAATAATCTTGCATTCGTAACATCCAGAATATTATATAAGTCTTAAAAGCATTTACACTACATTACCATTCTAATGTGCCGTCAGTTATACTTGAAATATAATATTAACTTTAAGAAGACACTGAACCTGCACATACTGGTGTTAAAAAAAAAAACTAATATTGGGGAAGGGTGCAGCTTACCTATACAACCTAATTTATAAAGTAAATTGTTAAATTTAATGATTATTTAATTATTTCACTTTCTAAAATTTGAAGTACATCCAGAACTTCATCTTGAAAAAATGAAAGCTCCCAAAATGTAATGGTTCTTAAATTGTCAAAGTTTTGTTGAGTTATATTAGAATTTTGAAAATAAAAATTTAATATTTGAGTTTTAAAGCAGTCAAATAAAAATGTCTTTGATTTGTATTGAATTGAACAGTAGGTATGAAACAAAACTTATTGTAAAATTGAAATACAATTATCAAGTCTGAGGTATACAAATGTATTTAAAATTGTATAAAAAATATAAATATATTACACTAATCAAAAATAGAATTAAATAATTTAAACAAGGTAAAGATTACTTTCAAATAATTAATACATTATTGTAATAATTCCTTATATTTGATAATTTCATAATATAATTTCTTATAAACTCCTTATACACCTACACAATTAGTAATTTTTTTTTCAAACAGGTTAAATGTTTTATAAAAATATTAAATTGTTAAACTTCTGTTATTACATTTTTTAAGAGCTTTAGGGGTAGTTATTCACTCCTTATAGAATAATCTTACCTTTTTTACTGATTTGTGTGAAAGAGATCAATCATAGGTAGTGGATTTAGTACATTAAATAATGTAGGTAGGTATAATATTTAATTTTTAATTTATTCCAACCGTCTTCTCAATGACTTTTAAACTGAGAGCCGTTTCTAAAGAAATATAAGCACCGTTAGTACATTATTCGCATATTTAAATTTAACAAAGGTAAAATTTACCACACACAAGCATGATGATTCTGTTGGTGCCCATTTATCTCCGTATCGCATATTTTGAACTCTTCTAAATGATTAACAGTGTCTTTTTGACCTATTACTGTAGTACACTGTGCCACAGCAAAGCATGTTAAAAAATAAGCAACTTGGACAAACTGAAAAATTTTCATTATCGTCAGATTATAGTTTGGTAGGTAATCTTCAAAATTAAAAATAATTAAATGCATGAAATATACATTCGTAATTTAATATATATTGTAATTATCAACGGAAATTTGAAATATTATATTAATATCAAAAATAAGTTTTGTTACATACGCAATGTGTGAAACAGGATTTTTAATATAAATTACAATAACCAGTATCTTTATTTATGTTATTTTATAAATATGATAGTACTAACTATAATGGTGATTTTTAGTGGAATTTATGAAATTTGAATATATCAAATATATCGACTGGAAACTGAGTTTGTGAAAAAAGAATATTTTTCTGTGTGATATAAATTAATTTTATTACTATACTTATTAAAAAATGTCTGTATTGATTTAAAAATCACAATTTGTAGAACGGTCCGTTATCAATCAATATTTAAATTCTAAAATGTCAGCATTTGGTTGTTTACTATGACTAGTGATTAATTCCTGTTTAAAATTCAATATTTCAATGTTTTATATAAATTGAGACATTATTAAATATTGGTTAAAATTGCTTTTTGGTAAAAATTGTTTTAATTGCATACCTATTTATCTTGTGTATTCCATGAAGTCTCTAGGAATAATTATTTATATGAATTTTGATCAAAATTTTTGTTTTTTTTAGGCGTTTATACTACTCTTTTCTAACTTCCTATTATAGAGACATTTCTTTTTACTATACTTTTTATTGTCATTGCTACGTAGGTATCGACAAATTTTAAAAATAGTATAACCAAATTAAGGAAATTCAATGATTAATGCTTTTAATAATTTTAAAATTTTAACGAGTACTCAAATACTACTATTACTGAAGTTTTGGAAGGAAGGCTATGTTTTATGAAAATTATCTTAGGTTATTAATATTTAATTAATAAAAATGATTACGAATTGTTCATAATTATTTGTATAAATAATTTAATAAATGGGTAATTGTCAAACAATTCAATAATAGTTATTGTTTCATAGTAAAAACAAAAAAGTGAATAATAAAATAATGTGTAGAGGTAATTATACAAAATGTATGTACCTATAGATACAAATCTATAGGTTGTAATAGGTTTTAGAAATAATAAAAAATAATCATATCTATCTGACAAAAACAATAATAGAAATAGTAACCTATTTGTTCAACAATAATATCAATTGATATAGTTAACTAATTAATATAAAATATTTTATTTCAAAATATCAGATAATAATTTAAAGGTGTATTGGCAATATTTAAATAAAAATATTCTTTGGTAGGTAGGTGTGGAAATATTTTTTTTAACATCAGCAATAGAATTTCAAAAGTTATATAGGCAATGAACGGACAAAGTTACAGGTACAAAATTAAAGGATAGCCATAGAGTTTTTTAAAAAAAAAAATCTTGATGTTGGTAAGGCAACTTATTGAAATAGTAGCCGTACTATTACAGGAATGGAATAGGCAACATTGTATATTAATTTGGGAAGCACTGGGAAAACGTGCGTAAATTTCCATCCGTTCATCGATCTGTCGACACTTACCCTAGTGGTTAGTGTAGTTGTTTATATTCTTTGTGTTGTAACCATTCCGCCGTTGTCGTATAACTAAGTTCGATCATCAGTACAAATATCGTAAGTAAACACCAATATTTATAGTACAGTTTCAGACGATTTAACTTTCTACCGTAAGCACATTAGTATTTTCGAGCGAGAATACTCAAATCGAAATAAATTTCTTTAATTTTATCATCTGGAATTTATCTATTCCTTCATATTACTTACTACAATTGATAAACTGATTATGGTTTTATAGGTAACGCACCTAAACGTTCATTACCTATCCACCGTAGGTTTATAATATTCTAATCTAATAGTGTATTCATAATACATGAGTTAGTAGGTATCTATATTTTTCCTATACCTACATGCAAATTCATATGATATCAGAGTATGTTATTAAACATGTTTCTTATCATCAGATTTATTATTAATTATTTTTCAAAGTTATTCTTAATATCCTTAATAATCTCAAAATTATATTGATAGTGCTAACATATTCTATTAATTAGTGTCCTCTTTGTTTGATCTTGCCGTTCACTTTAAATTTAATACATAATAAATTCATGTCCGTGTACTTCCTATGATCTAAATAATTTAAGTCCGTGGACCGAACCGTGATAAGGTTTTGTTTGATACATTGTATACAAATTTAGGAAGCCCTGTGGTGTCAAATATTGCTATCAAAACGTGCGTAGACTTCCATCCGTTCATCGATCTGTCGACATTACCCTAGTGGTTAGTGTAGTTGCTTATATTCTTTGTTTTGTACCCATTTCGCCGTTGTGGAATTAAGAAGTTCGATCGTCACTACAAATAACGTAAGTAAACGCCTATACTCATAGTTCAGTTTCAGCCTATTTAACTAACTAACGTAAGCACATTGGTATTTTCGAACGGGAATACACTAATCGAAATTAATTTCTTTAATTTTATCACCTGGATCTCATCTATTCCTTCATATTACTTACTAAAATTGATAAACTGCTAAAATAAAAACGATTTTATGATTTTATAAGTAACGCATCCAAACGTACCTACCTACATTAGTTTAATAATTCATTCTAATCTAATAGAGTAGTCATAATACATGAGTACGTAGATATCTATATTTCTCCTATACCTACATGCAAATTCATATATCAGAGTGTATGTTTTTTGTATATTATATTATTTATTAAAAATGATTCTCATTCTTCAAGATTTTTTATTAATTATTCTTCAAAGTTAAACTTAATATCCTTAATAATCTCAAAATTGTATTGATGGTGCAAACATATTCTATTGATTGGTGTTTTTATTACTTGATGCTTGCCGTTCACTTTAGATTTAAAATATAATAAATTCTTGTCCATGTATTTCTTATAACCTAAAAATTCTACGACCATGCACTGAACCGTGATAAGGTTTGGTTTGGAGCAGTTGTCATTATCAGTTGTCCTCCGTGACATAATCACTAACATCATCTTTCTCGTGGTTGCTCTCGTTATTGTTTTGTTTATGTTACTAGTAACCAAGAATTCAATTTACGTCCGTTCATCGATCAGTTGATTCTTATGGAAGTTGCTTGTTTTAGTGACTAGTTGCAACTGCTAGCCGTTGTTGCATTTGTCCTTATTGGTTTTATGTTGTATGCCGCAGCGTTTGTGTCACAATTCATTTGTCACCTCTATTAACGTAAGTAAAATNTCCGTTCCTCGATTCCGTGTCGACTTTTACTCTTGCGATTAGTGTATTTTTTTTAGTTGTTATTGTTTTGTTATACCTATTATGCTGTTTTATAATGAAGTTTTATCTGCACTTCTAATAACCTAAGTTAACATCTATATTTATAGTTCCGTCCCTGCTGATTTGAATTTTCAACATGACCACACTCAAATCCGATATGATGTTATTGTTTTTATTTTATCATCTGGAATTCATTCACTCTTTCACATTACTTACTAAAATATTAAACCATAATTTACTGTTAACAAAAAAAATGATTTTCTAATTTCATAAGTAACCTATATAAAAACGTTCCAAACCTACCTCTATGANTCATAGTTAAACTTAATGTCTTTAAAAATCTCAAAATTATATTGATGGTGCAAACATATTCTATTGATTTGTGTTTTTATTGCTTGATGCTTGCCGTTCACTTTAGGTTTAAAATATAAATTCATGTTCATGTATTTCTTATAACCTAAAAATTCTACAACCATTCACTGAACCGTGATAAGGTTGTCATTATCACTGTCTACAGTGACGTAATCACTAATATCTATTCCCTCGTTGCATTATTGTTTTGTTTATTTGTTAACTGGTAATAACCAGTTAACATGGTTTCAATTTTTGTTTTTTCATCGATCGGTTGATTCTTACGCAAGTTGTTAGTGACTAGTGTTCAGTGCTAGACGTAGTGTGTTAGTCTTTGTTGTTTATGTGTTGTATGCCACAGTGTTTGGGTGTCACAATTCAATTGTCTCTTCCATTAACGTAAGTAAACACGGATATTTAGTTCCGTCACCTGGGCAAAATATCGCCTTTACTTGTTTCAATAGAAGTCAATCATTTATTCACATTAATTACTAAAATAAATAAACCATAGTAAACTGTGAAAATTAAAATTGATTATAAGATTTTATATGTAACCCATTCAAACGTTCATTACCTACCTCCATTATTTTAATAATTCATTCTAATCTTATAGAGTATTCATAATAAATGAGTTAGTAAGTATTTATATTTTTCTTTTACCTATATGCAAATTGATATGGTATCAGAGTGTATGTTTTTAGTATAATATAATATTTATTAAAAATGATTCTCATTCTTCAAGATTTATTATTAATTATTCTTCAAAGTTAAACTTAATATCCTTTATAATCTCAAAATTTTATTGATGGTGCAAACATATTCTATTGATTAATTTTCTCTTTGTTTGATCTTGCCGTTCACTGTAAATTTAATACATAATAAATTCATGTCCGTGTATTTCCTATGATCTAAATAATTTAAGACCGTGGACCGAACCGTGATAAGGTTTTGTTTGGTACAATGTATACAAATTTGGGAAGCCCTGTGCCCTCTGGTGTCATATATTGCTATCAATACGTGCGTAAACTTCCATCCGTTCATCGATCCGTCGACACTTACCCTAGTCGTCAGTGTAGTTGATTATATTCTTTGTGTCGTACCCATTCCGTCGTTTTCGATTTACGAAGTTCTATCGTCACTACGAATAACGTAAGTAAACGCCTATATTTATTGTTATGTTCCAGCTGTATTAACCTTCTAACGTAATCACACAAGTATTTTCGAACGAGAATACTCATATCGTAAATAATTTCTTTACTTTAATCTCCTGGAATTCATCTATTCCTATATATTACTTACTACAATTGACTATCTACTAAAACAAGAATAATCATATTGGTACGCACCTAAATGTTCATTACCTATCCACCGTAGGTTAATAATATTCTAATGTAATAGAGTAATCATAATACGTGAGTTAATAGGTATCCATATTTTTCCTATACTTACATGCAAATTCATATGTTATCAGAGTGTATGTTTTTAGTATAATATAATATTTATTAAAAATGATTCTCATTCTTCAAGATTTATTATTAATTATTCTTCAAAGTTAAACTTAATATCCTTAATAGTCTCAAAATTATATTGAAGATGCGAACATATACTAGTGATTTGTGTTTTTATTGCTTGATGCTTGCCGTTCACTTTAGATTTAAAATATAATAATTTCGTGTCCGAGTATTTCTTATGGTCCAAATAATTTAAGAACATGGACCGAACCGTGATAAGGTTTGGTTTGGAACAGTTGTATACAAATTTGAGAAGCCCTGGGGCCTCTGGTATCAAATATTGCTATCCATACGTGCGTATACTTCCATCCGTTCATCGATCCGTCGACACTTACCCTAGTCGTCAGTGTAGTTGATTATATTCTTTGTGTCGTACCCATTCCGCCGTTGTCGTTTTACGAAGTTCTATCGTCACTACGAATAACGTAAGTAAACGCCTATATTTATTGTTATGTTCCAGCTGTATTAACCTTCTAACGTAATCACACAAGTATTTTCGAACGAGAATACTCATATCGTAAATAATTTCTTTACTTTAATCTCCTGGAATTCATCTATTCCTATATATTACTTACTACAATTGATAATCTGCTAAAACAAGAATAATCTTATTGGTACGCACCTAAATGTTCATAACCTATCCACCGTAGTTTAAAAATATTCTAATGTAATAGAGTAATCATAATACGTGAGTTAATAGGTATCCATATTTTTCCTATACTTACATGCAAATTCATATGTTATCAGAGTGTCCCGTGTATTTCTTATAACCTAAAAATTCTATGACTATGCACTGATCCTTGATAAGGTTTGATTTGGAACATTTGTCACTATCAGTACTCCATGACGTATCACTAAAATCGTCTATATCGTGGTTGCTGTCGGTATTGTTTTGTTTATGTTACCAGTAACCAATATTTCAATTTACATCCGTTCATCGATCGGTTGATTCTTATGGAAGTTGCTAGTGTTAGTGACTAGTTGCAACTGCTATCCGTTATTGTGTTTGTCTTTATTGTTTTATGGTGTATTTCGCAGCGTTCCATAATTCAATCGTCACCGCTATTAACGTAAGTAAAATCCTATCGGTACTCGTGTTAATTTCCATCCGTTCCTCGATTCCGTGTCGACTTTTACTCTTGCGATTAGTGTATTTTTTTTAGTTGTTATTGTTTTGTTATACCTATTATGCTGTTTTATAATGAAGTTTTATCTGCACTTCTAATAACCTAAGTTAACATCTATATTTATAGTTCCGTCCCTGCTGATTTGAATTTTCAACATGACCACACTCAAATCCGATATGATGTTATTGTTTTTATTTTATCATCTGGAATTCATTCACTCTTTCACATTACTTACTAAAATATTAAACCATAATTTACTGTTAACAAAAAAAATGATTTTCTAATTTCATAAGTAACCTATATAAAAACGTTCCAAACCAACCTCTATTATTCTAATAAATCATTCATTGATATTCAACATGATTTATTGTTTTTCTGAGTATAACTCAATACAATCTCAAAATTATGTCGATGGTACCAACATATTCTTTTCAATTCTTTTCTCGTTGCATTGTGCCGTTATTATAACCTCGATTGCTGAGCATTAGTACCTAAATTATTCATATACGACAAAATGAAAAATATTCTGCAGCTTAAATAACTAAATTTGTTGTGGTCACATTCCAGTGAATTTGTGTACTCTACTGTATTCGGACAATTTGGAGTTTTGTTTTACATGTTTTTTACAGCAATGAATTTATGATTTTCCCTATAAAGAAATAAATATTACTTTAGGTATACTTAACTTCTTTTTTTTTCTTACTAAGTTCAACTTTTCATGATCCTTGTGTTAAATTTTCTAATTTAAATGCCCCTAAAAATAGATCAAAAATATTTTTAAAATTTTATAATTTCTAGAAAAGGCCAATATTAGTATTATGAGAAAATTTCATGTTTACAAATATTTTAATTAGGAATATAGGAAAACAACAAAAACACAAAATTGAAAATATTGAAATTATTTTTGTAAACTCGCATAAGTTTCTCACTAAATTTTTTCCTGGTTATGCTTAGTTGTTGAAAAATTATTTTCTACCTTACCAACTGGATTATAAATACAACCAAATATGATTTATTGATTTGTTGCAAAATTTCTGATATAAACAAAGAATATTCTTGAGTGCTGATTTTTTTTTTTAAATTTGTATTGGAAAAAATTGTAGGTATTTAAAAAAATAAAAACTTATATAACCATAAATGACATCAAATATATTCATTTTAAATTGTTTTACAAACAAATCTATTTCTCATAAACTATACCGTAACTTCTAGAGTTTACATGCATATTGTTTACTCGTAGTTCACATTTGCTTTTTCACTTTTTTGTATCCCTGAATTGTATTATTTAATATAGTATATTTATTTATGAACATTTTAGAAAATAAACCTATTCCTAGACATTAGTAATGACTATAGAACGGATTTAGATTTTACATATTGTTATAGAGTTTATGCAGTCATATTTTGAATTCGCAAGAAAAAGTTATTTTGCATATTTGAGATTATTAATGGGTTAAGGAATATTAATTTAGCTTATTTTGCATATTTTGGTATATTTTGTAAATTGTGAGTAAAAAAAATTTATTTAAATAATAAGTACCTGAAAAAATATATTTTAAACATTTAAAATATTTTATTTTTTATATCATTTTGATTAAAAAGTTTAGTGTTTACTATCTACCTATTATAAGTTACCGTTCACTAAACATGGTAGCTAATCTGCAATGCTGGCAGTTGTTTTTATACTAATAATAACTCAACATATTTGTTTATCATTAATCATTATCAACTATTCAAATGTCCAAATAACATTTTGTTTTGCACTTTTTCAATCACGTTTAACGTCTGCTCGGTCTGCCTTGTGCGTTAATTTGATATATATATATACATAGGCGTGTTTTGGCGAATAACTACATGTAGCCGGGTTACTATATTCTATAAACAAGTCGGTTCGTCAATCTTATCTAATCTTTTACAATAAATCATTTTAATTTATTAATTAATTTTTACTATAGGCTATACACATATAAAAAGTACATATTTCTATTTAGGTATTTGTAATTAACCACTCCCCCTCCCATTTACTCAATAACAGTTTACCTATTATTATTTAATTTGAATTTAAAATTATATTCTGCTATTAATAAAAATGCAGTTTCAATTCCTAATTAAATATTTATAAAATCCAAATTACAAAAATAATATATAATTATAGATTTTAAAAAATGTATAAATATAAAACTTCATAATAGAATGGAAGCCAGAAATCAGAAAAACTTTTTAACATAGTTTCAAATGCATAATTTTATCAAGTCATGGTGTTCTTTATATGATTTCTGCCCATACATGATTCCAAAAAATGTCTGTTGGTTCCAAGAAAGTTTGTTTCCCCATTTAGCAGAAACTTTTTATGTTTTGACTGTGAGCCTTTGTATACAGATAAACAAAGTGTGGTTAACAGTAGTATGGTGTAATCTCACTTCCTGTGAATTGTTGATGATTTTCCAACAATTAAATTAAATTATTGAGTTTGGTTTGGTTTATTATTCCATAGTAGGTAAACTACCAATGTTTTCTCCAAATGATCAGGTACTCCCACTATCCATATAATAATAAATGCATCATATAAATATAAAATAATTCAGTTATGTTGTATGTTAATGTTTATTTTCATTTGTTATTACTGATACTGTATAAATTCAAGTCAATTGGTAATGGTTTTGTAACGTCAAAATATTGCATTGCGAATTTTAACTGTGTTTAAAACTTTTTATC